ATTGAGGCTGCGAAAGCCAAGCTGGATGCACTGCGTGCTGCTAAGAGCGGCGTGGACACGCCAAGCACGGCTGCAACTGACCCTACCAGCCCTGTAGACAAGCATGTCAGCCCCGTGGACCCTGCCAGTCCCATGAGCCCAGCTGGCCCCACAAGCCAGAAAAATTTCGCCACTGTCACGGTGGACACCCAATCCCAAGGGACAGCTGTGCCAGCAAGGCTGTCCCCAGCTGTGGTTCCATCTTCGCCCGCCAAGTCAGTCAAGTCACCCTCGGTGGCCAACACACCGCCCAGGGAGTTCATGAAGACCAAGACGCCCATAAAGATCGCCACGTCGACCCTGCTTGAGTCTGATGCTGGCAACGATAGCTCGACTTCATGGACGGGGTCCACAGATCAGGACTCTCGTTTGCATTGAGCGGAGTGCGCTCGACGGTTGCTGGCACCCCCAAATCGGGATCATTATGGGTGGGTCGGAGTTCAGCGTACACATGCATATTAGAGATCAACTCCATTGGCGGAATTGTTGTAGTGACACATTCGAGGAATCGATGCATGGGGCGCAATACATTTTGCCGCATTCATTGCCATTTGGCTTATGAGAAATTGGATGGGTCGGCAAGCTCCGAAATGCCACCTCGTGTTATCCTGCCTCGCCCCACTTGGGTGATCGCCGGGGTTGCTATGTAGATAGCACACTTGCCGGACTTATGTAACTGAGTTGATGGACATAGCTAAGTGTACCTAAGTGTACTTAGCACACCTCTTGCTAAGTGTGTTGCGGCATACTTAGGGCACACTTAGCTAAGTCCACCGGCGGAGTTAGTAAGTGGCCCGCAAGTGACTTAACCGCGGTCGGCTCAGGCATGTCAATGCACACATGTTGTGACACACAACATGTTTCATGACCATATATCATAAGATTCGAGTCTAGTATCAACTGAGATTCATGATGACCCCAGCTCACACGCAGGGCTCAACGTGACATCACCCTCCAAAAGCTGCTAAAAAATGCAATAACCCTAGAAAGAATCAGTGTCAAAACCACGGTCCTAAAGTCCTAAAGTCGTCTATACCCAAAACCTTGAAGAAGATATGAGCCCTTCGTGACGCCTCTATTTTTAGCAGTGACATTCATTCTGAGCGAAATGTGATTTCCGTAGCTGACGTTCGTGATTCTGTGCGAAATGTGATTTGGACCATGAACCCAAGCTCCCGGTGATAGGGTACCACTAAGCATCTATAGGCAGAATAGGGGCAATGTGGGTGTGGCGTCTTTCATACGGGGGGCCTACAAAATGGCGATGCACCTGTTGTTTCCCTTTAAAACGCACAAGCACGTACACATGCATTTGTTTATGGGTGCGTGTGTGTGCATGTATGTATGTGCAACCCTTACATATGCAGATGAGTGCCCCAAATTTGAACCCTTGCAAACGGTGGTTTCTATAGAGAATTGTGGATTGACGTCGTTTGTGTGGCGATTGAAGGAACCGGACCCCTTTTGAACAACTATTGTCATGCATCTCTTTAAGGTTAGCAAAAGGTGCATTGACACTGTTGGGCTTGCCCTGACTTCAGTCGTTCTTGTGCTTCCCTCAAACTTATATGGCACTCACTAAAACATAAGCAGACAGGATGTTTAATATTATATTATCCTTCGGTGTGCCAACCAAAAGGGGCACCGCCAAACAATAGTGTAGGTTGGGATGCTAAGTGCTAGAAACCTTTTGACTTGATTTGGGCTACAAGGGGCTCAGGGGATCCAAGAAAACATCTGGGGATTGGGGGGTAGGGTACTGTCGCTGTCCAAATGTTGCGTTTGTTTTATTGGCACATGTAAACCCCTAATGTTAACAATGATTCATTTTTTTAGTGTGCATGGGGGTGTCTCTGGGCATTTGACAGCAAAGGGGTGGATGGGTCGGTGGAGGGGGGGGGGGCGGGGTATAGCCACGCTGGCGCCTGCTTTGGCGCTGCTGCGGCCGCTGCCTGCCAAAGCAGGCGATCGCGGCTCGATCGATTATAGGTGTTTCTTCCCCCCCCCCCAACCCCCTCAATAGTGTTGCGTGGGGAATCCAAATATTCGATCAACCCTTTGATAGTATTTTCAGTGGTACAGTTAGGATCGGATAGAAAATTGTTTCCCCAAACTTCGGATAAACTGCTTTTGGGTGTTTTGCTCAAAGCATTCCCAAACAGCATACTCATAATTCCTAACCGGCCATAGGTCTGGACTATATACTTTTGCAGCATTGGGATATTTGGTCGTTTTAGAAACACTGTGAAAGGTCCCTTATTAAGGGCTCATGCTTTTGAAAGGGGTCCCTCAGCTATAGTGCCTCAAGGTTCGCCTGTTTCTGCTTGTTTCATCCCTCCCAAATTCTGTCATGGTGGCCGAAGAGCCAACAATCCCCATGAGATGAAACGTGCTGGAAAAAACCTAAACGCAAGCCGCTTTGCTTTTACCAGGTCGTCAAGGGAGCGATCACGAATTGACCTTCCTTGAAGGAAAACACGCAAACATCACGAACACTGGATGTGTCCACCAGCGTATTCCTAGCGCCAGGTGTTTCCTGGAACGTGTTGGGCCCAACATGCTTCAGATTAGACACACAGCTCCAAGCATGATTGCCCTCCTGGGCGTGAAACAAAACCTTGGCAACTATTGCCCCTTCGGGGCAATTGAGGAGCACCACATCACCGGCGCAACACTTGCAGCCTGGAGAGTAAATAACTTCCAGCGAAATCTCTAGGTCATCACCAGCATCAAGCGCTTGTTTCAGAGAGGGATGCGGAGAAGCCGGATCCACCAATCCATACTTCAAAGGCTCGCGCGTCTGCGTGCAAAGGTCCTCGAGTTGATCTACTAAGGCATCCCTGAGAACAGATCTGTCAAAGCTGGCCCATGTGTTCGTATTACAGCTGGCGTAGCGCTTCACATCTTTGTGCTTGCGTTCCAGTGCGAAACAGGCAATCAACCCTTTGTGTCTGTTCAAAAGGCGTCCCAAATGAAAGCTGTAATGATGTTTTGGGATCCATCTGGACGTACCGTAAGCGTAAAGAAAGGCCCGCAAATGAGCAATGACTCCATTCTCAAGCTCAGAGGCTTTTGTTTTGCCCGATTTCAATCCCTGGAGGAGGTCCACCACCCTTGCCAAGCGGAAATAGGATTGAACTGCAGCTTCAATACCATCCATTTTGCCTTCCTTGAGCTTTTCATTCAGTATGAACCTGATAACACTGTAAAGGGACAGGCCCTCGCTTGCGCTGCACCGCACGTCCCCTGACTGCTTCTTGACAAACGTTTTTTGCCCCGTCACACCACGGCTGGAAAGGGATGAAGGCCACTTCCAAAGTTGTAGCTCCTTGTGAAGGTCCGACTGCTTGTAACCTACAGATCCGAGGGCTTCAACTAACAACCCCATCTCCACATTCCAAAGGCCCCCGACGAAGAAGATATGCATCCAATCGTACATCAATACTGACATTGGGGGAATTGCAAGCTCCGGGCAATTCAAGAGCCCATCAGGCTCCCAGTTGAAACCGCAAAGCTGTTGTACTTTCTTGAATTGAGACTGGTTGCAGGTGTCCTTCTTTTCCTTCAAAAAGTTGAGAACCTCCCGAATACTCTCATCGGTGTGAAGCTCGATTTGTGACCAGTCGGTGCACGTAGCTGACACCATGGTCCCCGAAGTATCAAACTCCAATAAAGAACTGTTGGAACTCAACACATTTCGACAGAGGGGGCAAAGGAGGGTGGCAGAAGCTCCCTTAAACTCCATGCAATCTTTCAGCGCAGCTTCGTCCCCCAAGATGACCTTGAGGGATGCGAAACACATTTGCCTGACTGGTTCAGCTTGCCCAAGAACTAGTTGTAGCTGCACTCCAGCTTCAAACGGCTTGAAGAGACGAAGACAGGTCTTTGCAAACGCCCCCATTTTCCCTACCAGGGTTCGAACAGTGTCTGTTCTGCACAAACAGCAAAGAAACCAGAACCGAGTTGATCCCAGGCAGTCCATGCCAAACTGTTGAAACGTCCAATATGCAACTGTCACCTTCCTGGCTTGCAAATGCCGAAGCGCATTTCCAGCTCCCACATCATCGGTGTAGAAAATAAGCTTCCAGTGTTCCATAGGTGAGCAGGGTGACTGTTCAAAAGTAGACTGAAGCAGTCTAGCAAATTCAACGCTGGTCCTTGCCAAATACCACAGAAGGGCAGCCGGTTGAACACAGTGAAGTGTTTGTTTTCGAATCGTGGTTTTTCCGGACTCCGGTTCCTCTAATTGAGCCTCCACCTCAACGCTGGTCAGAAGAGGGCCATAGGGCGTCAGGATGTCCACTGCCTTTTCCCTGGATCTTTTGACACTGCCACGTGAAATAGCCGTAGGAAACTCTTCCCTTTGAGAAAGGTCCTTCAAAACGGCAGCTAGGGCACTCTGGGAGATAAACTTATTCCCACCCAAGGAGTGCAGCGAGGACATGGCGAGCCTAGACGGGCCCTGCCGGCGAGCAATCTGCCCCGCCAATAACTGATGATGCGCTTTCATGTTTGGAATGAAATATAGGTTTGCATCTTTTCTTGGAGAGCTGGAACTCTGTGCTGAAACCTTGATCCCTTTGAGCCACGTAAAAGATCATATTTGGAGCAAACCATTCTTGCTGCTGCCAGAGCTTACTCTGTGGCATCACCCATTCCAAGCTTCAAAAACGTACGCCAACTCCACAACCCTCTGACCAAGACAATGGCTCAGCAACCTTTTTCTCTTGCGACCCCTCCGCTTTGTTCAGCTGTTCGTTTCCCTTATATGATTTTGTCTGCAGGTGCCGTCCCAGCAATGAAACAAAAAGGTTTGACTAATGCTACCGTGGGTCCTTTTTAGATGGTGACTGTGGTTGTTGAACAGGGCTGAGACGACAAGCTCGATGCTACAAACCTAAAGTGAGCAATCACGATGCTACAAACCTAGTGGGCTAAGAAATGCTAATCCACGGGGTGCCTCATGCGGCACCGTCAATCATGTGCAGGGCTTTCTTCCAGGCGCCCTCCTCATCACCATGCCAACGGATCTTCTTATCGCACCGATCCGATTTGTGAACAAAGACCCTCCAGGATTCAGTGGCATCGGACCTGTGAATCTTCCCCTGCCGGTAAAAGGTTGTGGCAGCCCCAACTCCTGGAGCAGGCGGCCGATTCGGCCGTTTGCGGTTTGAGTTGGGCATAGGCTTGGGTTCCGGCTGCTTCGCATGCTTTGCTCTACCTTGCTTTGCCAGTGCGGCCTCTGCTGCCTTGTTTGGTTGCTTTGCCTGCTTGGTCTTTGCTGCTTTGTTCGGTTGCTTTGCTTGCTTTGTTTGCTTAGCCCCTGCAGCCTGCTTTGCCTTTGGCGCTGCGGCTTTCCCTTGCTTGGCTGTTCCTGCCCTGGCTTTCGGTTTGGGGGCAGGGGCACCAGTTGTTGCTGGGGTGCCTTCGGATGCTTTCTCTTCTTGCTCTGCCGCCTTGCCGGTCTTCTGTTGCTCAGATCGTGCGTTGTAGGCGCTGTCCATAAGGCTGAACTGCGCCTGCACTGTCTTGTTTTCTGCAGTTGCTAAAGCCGGTAGGTCAAAAGGATTTGGTCGTGGGTTGGGCGGAGAGGAACCGCTACCTTGGCTGGAATTGGGACCCCTGCCCCAAAAATGGATTTGTTGAATGGAATACAAAGGCCCACCCCCCCCCACCACCAAAAAAACAAACAAAAAAAACGAGCTAATTCTGTGACGCTACCAGACGAGCCCTGCGAGTCTGCTTTATCAGTCGAATGCGTGTCGGACAGCGAGGCGGCGTCGGAAACGGCTTTCTGCGTCGAAGGCGTGTCGGACAGAGAGGCGGCGTTGGAAACTGCTTTCTGCCTCCTTTTGTCGGAAAAGACCTGAAGCCCAGGAACCAAACCAGAGGCGCTGCCGCCGTTCACGCATGCCTGAAACATCTGGAACACGTGGCCCATCATGGCCTGGCATGTTGCCGCCTCCATCGAGTTCCCTCCTCCACCCACAGCGCTGTCGGACCGAACAAGCCGGTTGGTCTTCCTCAAGGGAACACACTGCGCTGGCGGTGTGGCCAGATCTGAAGACTGCCTTGGTGGCAGATCGCCCTCGCTGTAAGCTTTCTGCAGCACCTCCTGCGGTAACGCGTGCGGCGACGACGGGAACTCCTGGATGAACTTCTCCAAGCCCGGACTCAACTTGCAAGCCTTGCGAAGCTGCAGCTTGAACTGATGGATGAGACCCAGCCGATCAGTGGCATGCGTTGCCTGGAGCCCTGCCTCAAGTCCAGCTGCCACCACCTGGCCAATGGCCTTCTCACTGGGCAAGTGGAGCCCCAGAGCGCAGCACCGGCTTACAAGCGTTCGGACCTTGACGAACGGATGCTCATCGGACGCCATGACCTCCTTGTCCTTCGGGCTGAGAAAGGCCGAAAACCCGGCACTCAGCACTTGGTTGGGGCGACGGCCCTTGCTCCCCGTCCCCGCAAGTGCATGCGAGAGTGCCTCCCCCAAGCGTCCCCTATTGGCCTCAGACCAAGGCCCATGGGCAATGGTCTCTGCAAGGCCAGTTGCCTCCTCCGCCGAAAGGCGAGCCGCCACCATCCTCTGCGCCAGTGCCCCAGCTTGCGCGTCCGCGACCGCGTTCCAAACGTCTGGCGCCAAGCAACTCCGCTGCGCTGTCAAGAACTTGTTCATGTGAACGAGGTCCGCGACGAGAGACATGGTTGCGAGCTACCGAGTTCCCGATATACTAGAGTCCACGATGTCCGAGTGTTCAGACGCGCTGCCTGCTCAAACGCCCTAACTGTTCTATTGCAAGTGCGACTGCTGCGTGCTCAAACGCCTATATATAATGTTCTATTGCAAATGCGACTGCTGCCAGTTCAAACGCCTACATGGGTGCATGGTTGCTTGCGTGAAAGTCATCTGAAACACGCTGTGTGCTTGCATTGTCCTTTGAACCAAGCATGCATTGTGTAAACGTAAACCAAGCATAAAGGGTAAACTAGTCAAGACCCACTGCCAGCGAGCAAATGGCTCGCATCAACTCAAAGACACTGCACATCCGGGTAAACTAGTCAAGACCCACTGCCAGCTAGCAAATGGCTCACATCAACTCAACGCAATGCTGGCATGGTTTCATTCGGATCACTCTCTCCAAAATCCGGCCATCCATGGCAGGCTGAGATAAATACACCACAGCTACTTAGTGGCCTTTGGCTTTTTGGCCTTCATGGCCTTCTTGGCCTTCATGGCCGTCTTGGCCTTCTTGGCCTTCATGGCCGTCTTGGCCTTCTTGGCCTTCTTGGCCTTCTCGGCCTTCTCGGCCTTCGCGGCCTTCTCGGCCTTCTCGGCCTTCTTGGCCCTCGTGGCCTTCAATTGGCGAGCTCTCCCCACCTCACGCCAGAGCCTGGCGTTCGAGCGCGGCACGCAGGCGCCTCCCTCAATCACAACGCGAACACCTTGGGCAACCGTGACCATGTCCCAAGCCACCATCTTGTGCACCAGCTCCCGCCGAGCCTCCAACAGGTTGCTATTGTAGTAAAAAACAATAAACATTGATGAACCAGTGTGTTCTCTATTCTGTGGATTCCAATCACTACTGAAGAAGAAACATTGTAAGGTTGACATGGGTTCCAAACTCATTTGGGCTGTTGGTGCAAACATGCTCCCCCCTTCCAATGCAGCCTCAAACGATTGTGACTTTGCGCCTGGCCAAAGGTTGGAGGGCCCCGTCCGTAGTATTCCAGGGTGCACACTTCGCCCCCACTCATTGCATAGGTGACCTGCGCCACAGGGGCACACACCTTCAGCTGCATCACCGGCGGTTGGCGGACTTCCCGTAGAAGCACCGACTTGAAGGCACCATGCACGTGCTTGTACAGCCGGCACCCATCCCTCTCCTCCTCCTGCACGAACTTGAATGTAGCCATCCCGCAGTTCGTGACGGCCATGAAGATCGCCTGCCCCATGAGGATCTTCGCGTCGTGCCCCGGCCACACCGGATCCCACGCGTGGCAGGGTGGCAGAAGCTCATCCCTGCCGAGCTCAAAGTTCGTCGGAGCCAGTGCTCGCTCGAAGCGCACCATGCGAGCCATCGGGGCAAGCAAGCTGGACAGCACCCAACTATCAGGCGAGCACCTCGTGCCCAGCCGGCGAGCACAAACGCCCGGCCACATATCCTTCGACATGACTGCTGTGAAAACTATAGTATTTATTCCGTATGTGTGTGTCAATCATGATTCCCTATGCACGAACATGCTAATGTGTCAAAAGACGCCTCAAAACCACATATCATGCGAAACAATCCTAGCAAGTCAAACATGTGTTCGCACAAAGCCCGCCCCATACAAACCTCCAGGGAGTGACAGCAACCAAAAGCTATATTGTTAAGAGGATTGCCCACACAGTCATCCCCAGAGTAAGTGCTCGTGAACATCTCAACCCGTTCATGTCCAAAACTCAGCCATGCACATCTCAAACATTCACCTTCGACCTTCACCTTCAACCTCAAACCTTCACATCCAACCTCAAACCTTCACCTCCCATCCATGCACATATCAATCCGTTCATGTCCCAAACTAATCCATGCACATATCAAACCGTCCATGTCATCCATGCTCGATGCTCAACCCGTTCATGTCCCAAACTCATCCATGCACATATCAAACCGTTCATGTCATCCATGCACACATCAATCCGTTCACGTCCCAAACTAATCCATGCACATATCAAACCGTTCATGTCATCCATGCTCGATGCTCAAACTAGTCATGTCCCAAACTCCTCCATGCACACATCAATCCGTTCATGTCCCAAGCTCATCCATACGCATCTCAAACCACACATGTCCAAAACACATCCATACACATCTCAAACCGCCCATGCAATCCCTCCAATCCCTCTCTCTCACTCTCTCTCTCCTCCCTCTCTTTCGCTCCCTCCCCCTCTCCCTATCCCTCTCCCTATCCCTCTCCCTATCCCTCTCCCTATCCCTCTCCCTATCCCTCTCCCTCCCTCTCCCTCTCTCTCTCTCTCTCTCTCTATCTCTCTCTCCCACTCCGTGGCGCACTGTATCAGCGACGTGTTTTTCTTCGACTGCGACTGCGTCGGCTGCCTAAAATGAGCCTAGCTGGGCCACGCGATGCCATGTGGCTACCCCTCCACGCGCCCCCAAAGATGTCATTGGGCAACGCAATTCCCGTTGTTTCAATGGACATTTCACTGATCGACCCAAACTCAAAAAGTCCAAGTTTTTATCGATCTATAAAAGTTTGGTCACTGCACAGTCCGTAACTTTATGGATCCACAAAATATTGGTATCCCGGGGCAGCCACTGCTACTTATCCAAGCGTTGGGGCTCTGAGTTTTATGGATTGATAAAAGTTGTGTTGGCTCGCTATTGTTTTTTTTGTGGATTGATAAACTTTGGGCTCATGCAGGAGTGCCCCGATCCAGCGATTGATGGGGCATATTCTCGACTCACGCCCCAACATCATGCAACCCAAAGGTCGGCTCTGCGAAGCCAAAATGCCAAAAGGCGGAAAAACCGCTGCTGTGCAGCGAGCCGGTCGAGGCACGCGCGGCTAGCGCTTGCCCCCTAGGGCCTTGTTCACGGCGCCCGCCATCAGGTGCAAGGCATCTAGCGCCTTGTCCCTCTGCTTGATCTCCTGCTCTATGTGCTGGTTGTGAGTCACCGCGATGCGAGCCGCCTGCACTTGCACGCCACCGCGCTTCCTTGCGCGCTGCCGCCACTTCCTCGGATGTGGTGGAAATCAGTTTGATGGGCAAATGGCAAAGAAAAACAAGAATATATATATATATATGTGCGTGTATTTGAGACACCACTATATGGGACGCATACACTAGCTAAACTCTGGTGGCAATGAAGTGGCAGGGCACGGGATGCTCGCCTGCAAGCAGCAGGGCACGGGATGCTCGCCTACCAGTCGCAGGGCACGGGATGCTCGCCTACCGGTGGCAGGGCACGGGATGCTCGCCTACACGTGGGTGGCAGTAGAAGTAGTAGTAGTAGTAGTAGTAGGAGTAGTAGTAGTGAGTAGTAGTGAGTAGTAGTGAGTAGTACTAGTAGTAGTAGTAGTAGTAGTAGTAGTAGTAATAGTAGTAGTAGTAGTAGTAGTAGTACTAGTAGTAGTCATGGTAGTAGTGGTAGTAGAAGGAATAGTATTAGTGGCAGATGTAGCTAATTAATAGTAGTAGTAGTAGTAGCAGTAGTAGTCGTAGTAGCAGTAGCAGTAGTAGTAGTAGTAGTAGTGGTAGTATTTAGTAGTAGGAGTAGTAGTAGTAGTTGTTGTTGTAGTAATAGCAGTAGCAGTAGAAGTAGCAGTAGCAGTACTAGTATTAGTATTAAGGGTCGAAGTGGTAGTTTACTACCATATAGTAGTAGGGGTGGTAGTAGTAGTATTCGTAGTAGTAGTAGTAGTAGTATTCGTAGTAGTAGTAGTAGTAGTAGTAGTAGTAGTAGTAGTGGTAGTGGTAGTAGTAGTAGTAGCTGTTGTAGTAGCAGTAGCAGTGGCAGAAGCAGAAGTAGTAGTAGCAGTAGTGGTAGTAGTAGTAGTTCTTGTTGTTGTACTGGTGGCAGCAGCGGGTTGCGGCAATCAGAAAGTATTACTTGTGGTGTGCATTTGTAGTTGCATGTAGTGTCAATGACATCAGTGGCTTCAATAGTGTTATAATGTAATGTAGGAGTGAGCGAGCACTCCGTGCCCTACTGCTACTATTATACTACTGCTACTGCTACTGCTACTGCTACTGCTACTACGACTACTACTACAGCTTGTACTACTTCCGCTATACTGTTATTACTGGTGCAACTGCTACTACTGCTTCTACTGATCCCACTACACTAACTGCCATCACTGCTAGCGCACCAGTCATAACTCGCCTACAGTTTGCTTAGCCCATCCTAGAACCACTTGCAAATAATTTGGAAAATGTGACATTTGGATCCATGCGGCCATGAGGACGACCACCAGACATCTTCTCCGGCAGATGGCCAGCGGTCTCGGGCGCCTGATGGGGAGCCATGCAGGAAACATAGGGGCATAATGACAAAGCCCTTGTTGGGAAATTGTTTGAAACAGGTTGAACCTTTGACACCTTTGTTGAGACCTGGCCTGACGAAGCCTCCTCCTTGCCCTTGCCCTTGTTCTTCCCCTTGTTTTTCCCCTTGTCCTTGCTCTTGCCTTTGCCCTTGGCTGTGGGCCCCTTGGACGCCTTGCCGTGGCTGTTGCCCTTGCTCCGCTCGTCCCACCAGCCCTGCGACCAGCTGCATGCCCGCCAGTCCTCCGCCGTCCAGGGCTTCGCCTTGTTCCTCCAGCGCTCCGCCTCGCCCTTGCCGTGGCCGTCCGGCTCCTCCTTGCACTCCCATCCGCGGTCCTCCCACGTGGCCTCCTCCTCCTCCTCCTCCTCGGGCTCGTCCTTGCAATCCTCCCACCAAGAGTCATCACCCCACCAGCCGGCTGTTGCCGTGACTCCTGCAAATGGTGAAGAAGAATATGATGACGATGATGATGAACATGATGATGATAATGATGGTGCAAATGTTGAAGGAAATGATTGATGATGATGATGATGATGATGAACATGATGATGGACATGATTCATGATGATGATGGTGTTGATGATGATGATGGTGATGCTGATGGTGGTGATGATGATGATGATGATCATGCACATGGTGATGACAATGCTTATGCACATGATGCCGAACGTGATGATGATGATGATGATGATGATGATGATGATGATGATGATGATGAACATGTTGATGAAACTGATGATGATGATATCAGACACACACACAGTTACACACAGACTTTCTAGCCTAAACGTGTTTTCAAAGTCAGTGCGGCCAGATGTGAAACATCAACCCTTGTGACAATTCATAAAAATGAAACAAAACAGTCCTGCGCCTCCGTCTTCCGCTCTGGCGCGCTTCGTGGCGGGCTCCTCCTCCGAGCTCGCGGGCTCCTCCTTGATCTCCACCAGCGGCTGCCCCTTCTCCACCAGCGGCTGCCCCTTCTCCACCACCGGCTGCCCCTTCTCCACCTGCGGCTGCGCCTCCTCCACCACCTGCGGCTGCGCGAGCCCTGCCATGATCGAATAGGGGAGCGAGCTCACCGATTAGCCTAATTATGATGTCTTGTGTGCATGGGCTTGTGTCATTATATCACGCGTGCGATTTGCATGTTATAAGTGCTTATATAGCTGCATGGATGCTGAACATTCCTAAATCAACATCATGTGACATCGTGTCATGCATGCATGCCTGCAGTTCGAGCCGGTTCACACATGCATGTCAACTTGCACAGCGGTGGACCAAATCATGCGCATACCTTCACCCCCAACCTCAAATGTCAAACCTTCACCTCCAACCTCAAACCTTCACCTCCAACCTCAAACCTTCACCTCCAACCTCAAACCTTCATTTCCAACCTCAAATATTCACCTTCACCTTCGCCTTCAACCTGCAACTCAATTTCCAAACTCAAATTCTCGATCCAGCACATCTGTTTCTTCCCCCATCAATATGCATGCATGCAGTCCTACTTTTCAATTAAAGAAAGCGAAGCAGGGAAGCCCACTCGCACCTATACACTCCGATGACTGGCCGAACAAGCAAACACATGCCAACACAATTAGAATTGATGTCCAAATGCTCAAAGATCCAACCACAGGTCAGCCTATAGCGAAACGTCCGGCTCTGCCGGGTCCATAGTAGAGCGCTTCTTCCCCTTGCTTGGGCTCCCGGAAGCCACGATGCCCTCCCTGACGTGCTCAAGGGTCAGCGCATCCAGCTCCAGCCAAATCTCAGAACCCTTCACAGCCCACAGCGCCTGCACCTCCTTCTCAGGCGTGCTGCCAACTGCTGGCAAGCAAACGCTCACCGTGGCTGGGGCCAAAAATCGGTCGTTCTCACAGACAGCTCGCTTCCTGCGCTTTGCAGGCACATCCTTGCCTTGCTCCCGCGCTTCGGCCTCCTGCTGCTCATCCAGGACCTTCTGAACCGCATCTCGGGATGCCCGGTGGACATCAGCAACGAGGGCATCCCAAAACCTTCCCGAGATGCATTGCATCTTGTCCTTGCGGAGATCAAGGGCCTTGCCTGTGACATATCGCGTCCAATCCCGGCACCACCTTCCCAACTTGATGAAGTCGATGCCCTCCACCTTGGTCAGGGTGGGGAACCAAAGGGCCTTCTGCTGCCTGCTGTTCCGGATGACCACCGTTGTGGAAATGGTGGTTCCATGCTCAGGCATGAAGGGCGAGCCCTATGGCCCTGCCGGCGAGCACCTCCGTGCCCAGCCAACCACGGTTGGTAAGCCAAAATGCTTCGAAAGGAGATCACCCACAAATGAATGAACTTGCAGTAGCAACACGTGTTTCTTACAGCTGCCTCTCTCTGGAGGATGCTGCAGAAAACTGTCATGTTGTTGGAACTCTTCTGGGGCTCTTGAAGGGGCCTTCGGGTTCCTCAGAACTGGTGACACCAGCGGACGACCTTGACAAACTGTGATCATATGCTACGGTCACCTGCGTCCCTAACAACACACTGCACAAAATTGTCCAATTGTCCGATGGTCAGGATTTGCACCACAACTTTTTTGAATGGTTCAACCAAGGATTGGCAGGTATATGCTTCTTATGGGCAGGGCACGAGTGCTCGCCGGCAGGGCTGATTCAAGCTCGCCTGAGTGTCACCGTTCAACCCTACACATGCGTGGGGAACAAAAGCATGAGGAAAGGCTCCTTTTGCATGTCTGGTCGCGTTTCGATGCTTCGTATGGAATGGCTTTCAGCCATCAAGATCTGGCTGCTTTGTTCTAGCCCGCTTACTTGGCTTGGATGTCTCAACCTTCTCCAGGGGCGCTAGCTCCAAAACGACCGTGTCTTTGGGCTTGTGGACCTTCAGATCATCCCCCTTTTGGATGGCAACAAAATTGCGCAACAATGGGATGTCCATGCCATTTGAGGCCTTGATGGTGACCAACTCCATGTTGCTTTCTTCTTGGGTGGTAGTGGGCTGAACGAAGAAGAAGGGGCACACTGCGCCCGCTGTGCCATCTTTGGGGATGACAACCCAAGGCAGGATGCTGAACTCCATCCCTGGGACCAGCTCTCCCATAGGCGTGCCTTGACCAGAGGCGCTGCCCACCGGCTTGCACTCGATCTTGGTGCTCACTGGGACTAGCTTGAGACACTTCTTCTTGTAGTCTTGCTCGGCAACCACGCGCTTGCAAGGCTTGAGGTGCACCGACAAGCCTTCAGTGTCGCCATTCTCTTGCTGCAGCTCATGAATGGCCTGCAGGATGTTGGCCTTCATGAGCTGCACCAGGAAGTCCGCATGACCACCTGCCGGGTTGGCCATGTGGTCGAGCGTCACCACCTGCGCCTTGGGCGTGTGCTTTGTCCACTCCCCGCGGGTGAAGCTACCTGCCTCAACCCTGCGCAACTGGCCATTCACTGCGACGACCAAGTGCGATTCTTCGAACTGCACCACTTGGGCAACCGTGCCATCCCCCTTCCGAAGAATGTGCATGCCTTCCGTGAAGCCGCACTCCCGGGCCAACCCCGAAGGGCTTTGCAGCCGCCCGCCAGCATCGTAGCTCCGCATCCTAAATATGATAGAAAGGGGGACCATACAACCCAAACCAAAGTAACTCCCCAAAATATAGAACAACTCGACAAGTAACAGCTGAAATGAGAATCAAGAGTCACCCCCGCATCCTTGCTGGAGCTGGCACTTGCCAGAGACGATGGCTCTGGGGAAGCCGTGTGTGCCACCCACTGCTTCGAGATTGTGACCTGCTTGAGCAGGGCCACCTTCTCCACAAAGGCTTGGGCTGCCTGCTCGATGGTGTGTGGCAGCGCCTGCTTTGCATCCTTGCTCTTTTTGCCAAGCGCCACGGACACCACAGTCATCTCGAAGTCATAGAGCTCCTTGAGGACGTCCAGCTCCTTGTCCACGTTGGCAAGGTAGGTGGCGAGCAAAGACCGCATCTCAACCATGAGCCAGTCGCACTGCAGGGCCAGCTCCTTGAAGGCGACTGAGCTGAGCCTCCTTGCGTCAGCTGAGGCGATGCCCCTCTCAGGCTTAATGATCGCTGCACGGAGTAGTGCGTGGCGAAGGCGTAGCAACGGAGCCCCTCCCCGCATATCGCGGCCTAGGGAATCCCAAAAGTCTGCGCCAAGCTCGCGCTGTGAGCTCACCCCAAACATCCTGATTGCCTGCTCAGTCTCATTCAGGGCCTCAGCAGACGATCCGCCCGAATACTTGCGCAAAAATGTGAAGATAAACGGGATGGCCGCAGTGCAGCTGGGCTTTGACCTCAACACTTGGGCGCGCAGTTCCTGGTAGGAAACGCTGCTCCCAGGTGGCTTGGACGATGCCACCTTGAGGAACTCTCTGTGGATCCGGCGGGCAAGTTGCAGCTCCGTCTCCTTCCTCTGAAGCTGCCCGCTTGTATTCCCGGCTTCCTGCAAGAGGGGGCCAAGCGAGGGAAAGCGCTCCAACGCGGCCCGTCCCACCACGGTCCAAGTCATGCCCTCACTGGCAGCACTGTGGAACAGCGGGTCCCGTTGGGCAAGCTGCTCCATGCTCAATTTCCCCTGAACCGTGATGTCCGGCGCACCAGCCTCGCTATCGTGCACATGATTGCAGCCGGCGGCCAGCAGGCGCAGAACTTGATTTGTATGCGAGGATGATAGCGACGCGTACTTGCACGAGCCAGGAATCACAGGTGCGAGCATGCCTGCTGAGTCCTCCACAAGGCAAGTGTTGAAGGCCTCGATTGCGCCATCCCCGGAGCATTCCACGCACACCGGCTTTGGCTGACTCGGGTCGAAGCCAATCGACAAGATATCGCTCAGCAAGCTGTGAACGTCAGCTGCGCAGACGCCACAGCCGTCGCGATTCGCAGGATGGCAAACAACATGGCGGCTACTGATCTTCGCCTGAAAGGCATGGTTGTGCTGCTCCAGCACAGCAAGTGCCCGGGAAGCAGATGCAACAAGCGAGCCAGTCTCCGCCTTCTTCAACAGATCCTCTATCTGTTTGCACACGTCTGGTGACAAAGCCATGATTGGAAGTCGATCTGCGTCGAACTATCCCTCAAGCCAAGCGGAATAGTCACAAACCAGTCGGAATACATGCTGTTGCCCTTGGTGCAAATCATTCATGTCACGAAGGCCTGCGCTCAAACGTTGCTTTTAGGCACTCAAATTGGTGCTGGCCGGCACCACTCTAGACCCCATTGGGTCGAAGAGTCGCCGGAAGACTCAACAGCAACATTGCAAGGGAGCCATCTGAGTGGCCGTAAATATTCAACACACAAGGGTTCTGCAATGGCAGTCGCCTCAATGAACAATTGCGTTTGTGACACAATCGTAAAAGAAGAGTGTGCAGGCAACCTCACTCCTTCATGCCTGTGATGGGCATGAGGTCTTCATTTGCATCTCGTGCGGATGCGAGACAACGGGCCCATGGCCATGGCGAGCAAAAATGCCCTGCCGGCGAGCACACATGCCCCGCCATCATGTAAGTGCATAAATGCATGAACCGTCTATCAAGTTCCCTTCTCTCCCTCCCTCCCTCCCTCCCTCCCTTCCCTCCTCTCCCCTCTCTCCCCTCCCTCTCTCCTCTCACTCTCCGATTCCCTTCCTATTTATCTCCTCTGTCTCTCCTGTGACCTTCCCCTTTGACTGTCAAACATGTTCCAAAACGTGGCGTTTCCCTGCAATAGGCCTTGGGAACCATTTTCTTTGACCAGGTTCAACACCCATCCAAAGGACCATAATAGGTAACAAGAGGAAATGAATAATAAATCTCATAAGGCTACAAACATGGTCCATAAAAGCCACTACCATGCAGTTGAGATTATTGCTTCAAAAGTGTCACTGACATCACAGGGAGGGCATGCATGGTTGATCGGGAATGATTGGAGTAACCAGCCAGCTTTTACAACAAAATTAAACTCCATGGAAACACGAAGTCGTTCTCTTTCATGGGTAGCTCTCTAAACCCGAAACTGTATTGTAAGTCCAAGGTTTTGCTACGACCTTTGGGGGGCGTTGGGGTGTTTGGCTTCAAAGAAAATGTGTTTAAGCTCAGCCAATTAACAAAATCAAAAAAAAGAAACAATGGTATGGGGCATGCAGTCAAGTTTATTATTGCAGTATGTTCTTTTGTAAAAATAGAAGGGGTCATCCACCTTGCCCTAAAAAACAAGCCCGGTCTCCACCCATCTTCTGCCGCCTGCTCGTGGTGGCAGGCAGCGGCCGAGCAGCGCCAGCAGGCGCACGGCAATCCGCCGTGGCGGGAAGGGCTAAAGGGTTGGGAGAAAAGGTATAGGGTGTTGTTTGTTTGGGATATTTTCGGTCGTGTTGTAATGATATGTGAAATGTGTGGAAGGCGATTAAAAGGGGGGGGGAAGTGATAGAGGAGAGGGGGGGATATATGTAGGCCCCCAAAAAATGATGATGTTCACAACGGATGAGGGGTGCATGGTCTGTTTCGTGGGGTGTGCTGTTGAAACTATCACGATCGATGTTTCTCAGCATGGTAGAGAACTTACCCAAGGACCCCCCCAAAATAAAAGGAAGAACAAACAACCACTTTCGATACATGTTTTACGAACTCATTGGCGAAAACCACGCAATGGTTTCCGGTTTGCCAGTGAAAACGCATGCGCCCCCCGTGTAAAAAAAAAACGTGGTCCCTTCAAAACGCCTGTGTGTCTCCCAAAATTCAAGCGCCTATAAGTGCGCCTAACCCACTTAGCTAAGTGCCCCGGTGGACTTAGCTAAGTGGTCCGGTGGACTTAGCTAAGTGCCCCGGTGGACTTAGCTAAGTCCTCTCCAACTACATACAAAACCAAAGCTAAGTACGCTAAATGTATAGCTAACATACCAACCACATATACGTACACCGCAGTACTTACTATGTTCGCTTTTCACATACGCGTGTTAGACAACTTAGTAACCTCAGTTGCCAAAGATAGTAACCTATGTTGCAGCACTTGCCTAAGTACTGCAGCTGGTCTATCTACATAGCAACCCCGGCGATCACCCAAGCAAGCATGGCGCGATCATCCCGCACCCGCCCAGGTTCCCGCCACCTGCACACTTGGTGCAACCGAGACCTGACGCGCCAAGCGGGACAGATATCGAGGATGTGAAGCAGAGGTTCTACAAGATGCGTGCGCGCCGACTCAAGCGAGGAGGTCTGGGTGGCAACGAGCAGACAAGCAGCGACAAGGAGGCGGCCGATCCGGGAGTTTCAATGCCGGAGGAGGAGGGAGGGGGGGAGCCCATTCCCGACTTTGATGTGAAGCCGGAGGCTCCTGTGCTGGATAAGTTTGTGGAGCAGACTACTTCGGATGTGGAGCAGCCTACGGGGGAGGCGAATCTGGCGCAGGCAACGTCTGTGGATGATGTCGTGGAGAATCCTTTGTCGGAGATGTTGGTGGAGGAGCCTTCGGATTTAGCGGTGGTGAACCATGAGGAGGAGACGAATGAGACGCAGCCTTTGGCGGCGGTGGTTCCTTCGGAGGAGCCTTTGGCAGAGTTTGCGGAGGAGAAGGAGACGACGCCTTTGGCGGTGAAGCCTGCGGAGGAGACGATGCCTTTGGCGGCGGTGAAGCCTGCGGAGGAGACGAAGCCTTTGGTGGCGGTGAAGCCTGCGGAGGAGACACAGCCTTTGGCGGCGGTGAAGACTGCGGAGGAGACACAGCCTTTGGCGGCGGCGAAGACTGCGGAGGAGAAGAAGCCTTTGGCGGTGAAGCCTGCGGAGGAGACGAAGCCTTTGGCGGCGGTGAAGCCTGCGGAGGAGACGAAGCCTTTGGCGCCGGTGAAGCCTGCGGAGGAGACGAAGCCTTTGGCGGCGGTGAAGCCTGCGGAGGAGACGAAGCCTTTGGCGGCGAAGCCTGCGAAGGAGACGAAGCCTTTGGCGGTGGTGAAGCCTACGCGGGAGAAGGAGACGAAGCCTTCAGCGGTGAAGCCTTTGGAGGAGAAGTCTTTGGCGAAGGAGACGAAGCCTTCGGCCGCGGTGAAGCCTTTGGCGGAGAAGTCTTTGGCGGAGATGAAGCCTGCGGAGAAGAAGCGTTTGACGGAGGAGGCCAAGTCTTTGCCTCCGGAGCGCAAGAAGGCGAAGCTCATGGAGGTTGAGCCCGATGTGAAGCCCATGGAGCCGGTCAACAAGCCCGTGGTGGGGGACATGAAGCGTGGCAAGCCGGCGGGCCGTACGAAGCAGGTACCGGGCAACAAGGAGTCCGCGAAGAAGGAGCCGGCCAAGAAGAATGCGGCGCAGAAGCACGGGGCCAAGAAGGATCACATCAATAAGTCTCGCGCCAAGGGCGCCATCATCCAGAAGGACACCAAGCTGAAGCCGGACAAGAAGCCCCGCACCGTGGACGAGGAGAGCACGCCGCTAGAGAGTCCAACGAGCCCAGCGGATGGTGACGAGGGCAGCTACGTGCCCACGTCCGATGCGTCACCTTCGCCAACGGCAAAGGAGCCAACGGCAAAGGAGCCAACGGCAAAGGAGCCAACGGCAAAGGAGCCAACGGCAAAGGAGCCGACGACCCAGCCCCAGCCTCCGTATCCGGATCCATTGCCGAGCACTGCACCGCTTTCGTACCAGGGCTGCTACCCTGGGCTGCGAACTCTGGATCTTCTCCAGACGATCTACAACCAGCAGCTGATGCAGCTGCACGCGATCGCAGGTTTGATGGACCAACTCAGAGCTTTTGGATCCTTGCGATAGGGGGCTTTTTCGGGCTGGCTCTCCAAGTGTGCAGTGGTGCAAGTGAGACATTTGAGCAATGTATACATTGCTGGATCGCAAAATTGCTGTGTTCCCCACACATGGCACTTTACCAGTCCCAACTGCATGCAGTACCATGGAGCACAATCCTGGATCGCCATGCAGTTGCTGCTTTTTCCCATCCTGCATACCCCAAGCACCATGCAGCAAGAGTGACTGAACAAAAGCAGCAACTCGGCTACCCAGGATGGAGTAAAACTCAACTGCGATCCAAGATGTGCAAAACGGAATGTGCTCACTGCACGCTTATGGAGGCTCTGCCCATGGAATATGGCACCAAGCGATGTGCCAGACTCCTGCATCTGCAATATCCACACACGTGAGTAAAACGTGCACGCATGATGATTGAATCCAACCACGCATGCCCCAGCGAATGCTCAATTGTTCAGATTGCGCTTTTTGTATTTGTCGATTGTTTTTTAGTCACCATTGCTGTTTTTTGGGTAAAGAATATGCATGGGAAGAAAACATGCAGCTGCATTTTCGAATTCATGCACTTGTCCCTTTGGCATTTCCAGGGAAACGACCGGTGTTATCACCACAAGCCTGTATGAGGGTTATGCTCTCGTGATCATGCATGTGTTAAGGAATTGCATTGAATATCAACAGGGCCCATCGGGGTTGGTTCAGCTGCATGCATGGTGATCTCTAATCATTAATTATTCTGACAACCGGCAAACAACCCTATCGTATATTTGTTGAGACACCCGAGTGCACTGCATATACCCTGTTCCCGGACGGTTAACCTTTCGCGCCATGCCGAGGAACCAGCATCTGATGCGAAGATCAAGGAGGACACGCCGGTGGCGACGATTCCTCGGGCCGATGCAACCACGACGGATGAGGAGAAGGATCTGCAGGCTTGGGTGTTCGATTGGCCGGCCGGGTCGCCTTTGCATGTGTGCATGGGCAAACAAACGATATTGCATGTGTGCCATTGGTTGATTGATTTCCATACGCATGCATATAGATAAATACGTGCTTTCGGCATGTGTCCTGAACTTAATCTTAGCACGTGAATGTTGCACCAAGATGATGTCCTTGGGGCCCCCAGGCCCGCCCTTCTGGAAACTAAGCAAACATAGATCCCGTGTCTCTTGCGTGGCATGCACTCATTGTGGACTGGACGTTGGATGCTTGGGCAATTCTTGGAACCTCAAACAAATGCGCTTTGAACTTGGTAAATCATATGTGCTTCGCCCTGTTCTCTACTTTGCTCCCCTGGTAGCTGACACACACACACACATGCGGGGTTTGCAAGCTATGCTTTGGAATGCATCAGTTAGAGCGTGGATCAACCCCTGGCGAACACGTGCTTCCACTAGAGCCATATTGCCTATCATGTGAGCGTTCTTAACCACCATACACCATTTGAAAGGTATACAACTTGATCCTGCAGGACAAAAAGCGCAAGGCGATGGATGCCCAATTGAGACGGATGTGCACGCCCAAGCTCCGCACCGGGCGGGCAGACGTTTCAAAGGAAGTGATGGAGAAGTGGAAGCTGGGGGGGGAGAGCCGCCGTCAGTTGCTGGACACTTTGGTGGAGGTCAACGGAAACAAAGAGGCCTTCAAGAAAAGCATGGAGGTTTGCTTTACCAAGGGCCGCAAGAATACCATCTGTATTTCTGCGGGCTGGTATTCGAAGGACCGCATGAAGACTGTTCTTGGATTCAGCAAGTAGCGGCCTGAGATTCCGGTGTTGGGAACGCGATTTACACACACGGTGCTGTTTTCCAGGTGGGGGGCACTTTACCTTAAACTGATATCGTACAATGTTTGCGCTTGAAAAGAAGCTGCAGCAACGTGTCATGCCTGGCAATCGGATCCATTATCTATGTTTTGTGGTCGACTTAGTCTGGCTTGCGTGCCCCCAAGGCAAAGAGTAAAGGCTGTTGTGCACTACTGCAGCGCATCGGAGCGGAAGAAAACGCTCACCCGGCTGCTTGGCACCCATGAATTTATTTCATCGGTATACCGCAAGCCTATTGCATGTGTTGGGGCAAGTCATCACATATGTGTATTCATGTGCACCTATTATGTGGTGGGGCAAGTCATCACATGTGTGTATTCATGTGCACCTACTGAGCCGGGAAAATATCAACCGGGGATCATGCATTTGCAAAAACATCACGCACATGCGCCGCCTAGGTGGGACAAATATGAGAAGAACGTGAGAGAGTACTGGGTGACTGAGCAGGAGAGCGGATCCTTCGAAACCACCGACGAGCAGACACTCCGCGATACAACCGTGGTGGCCGAGAACGCTGAGACCAATCAGCTGGACTTGGCACCCCCACCATCCGGCCCGTTGTCGGCGCCAGCGCACACCTCGGATGAGGAGCAAAGCATGAGCGAGGACGAGGAGTCCGGCCGCCCGAAGAAAAAGGCAAAAAAGGAGAAGACACCTGAATTCGATCAAGAACGCTCCCTTGAGGCCATACATGGGTGTTGTCCAGCCTACCCGATCCATTTCGATTGCGCCATAGATCGGTAGCATAACCCCCCACCCCCACCCCTAGATTTCCCATGCAGAAAAGGGTCCCATAAGTGAGGTTTGCCATGGTTTGCCGGCCCACTATCAATTTGATATTAAAAAAATGGTAATGCCCGAGCAAGGATTTGCAACAAAGTTGCATGCAGAAATCATGCATGTGCGATCGACATATGGGTGTGGCTCAAAATAAAACAGCTGCAGCTACGCAGGGATTGGTCCATGTTTCCACTTACAATTAAGGGTTCAGGCCCGGGTTCCATTTAGGGTGTGGCTTTTTGAGCAACAGCCATGCATGCATATATGTTTGAGGATGCTGTCTTGGAGTTTTGCAAAAGCCCCCCAACACGAGTGCAGGGGTTGGGGGTGGTAGGATGTGTGGCTTCAAGTTGGGATTCCTAAGGCTATAACATTAACAATGTTGCTGGAACTCGGGGGGGTAATCATGCATGATTCCCCGAATGAGCAGCTTTCTATATAGATCCCACTTGTTTGGCTCTCCATATCTGTACGCGATCGATTCAGGCGGCGGAAAACATCTCGATGGTGATGGACCAGGTGCTGAAGCAGCAGGCGAAGCTGGAGGCCACAGCGGGCAAGCTGGCCTTGCTGGAGACCGACTCAGCGAAGAGGCGCCACAGGTCTTGAGAATCGCATGGGGGGGGGGACGAATAGTCTATTTATGCAAACCCAAATGATGATTGATGCGAGGGCTCAAGAGGGATTGACCGAGCATGCGCAGTATCCCAAATTTGGCGAAATGTGCACCTTGTCAGGGCTCTGAAGGGCTTGGATGTGCACGTTGGCAAGCTCATGGCGGGCCACGATCAGCTTGCCAACTACAAGGCCCAGATAGATGCCCACGGGCATCTTTCTGACGAGCTACTTGTCTACAGCTTTCATGTGACATATGTTAGGGAAGCAAACCAAAGTTCACGCACACATGTGTGCCACACATGTTCCCATGCCAAACAGCCTGCATGACGCCTTGAGGGAACCCACACAAATGACCGCGGGGTCAAATATACCGAAATCAGGTTGACGCAGGAGTACAACCAAATCGTGAAGGAAGTGGAGATCAGGCGCCCGATCATCGGTTACTTCACGCTGTGTTGCCCTGATGCTCAAATGGTGTGCGCTCATGCATGTGCGCGGGTCCCATTTTGGCAGGGCCTCCCTTGCCCAGACGGAAGAGAACAAGCTGAAAAAGCAACTTGATTGATGCAAGCGGTGGAGTTGCCATGCGTCGCAATTAGAGTTTGGCAGCCCCATCTACCCCATCTTATCTTACTTTGCAATTGCATTTGCGTATGTTTGCACATAATCCTCATTTGTGTACATATACATGCATATATATATATATATATGTATGCCATATTTTTGTACATAAGACATTTTCAAGGTAATGCGGTCAGAAACCACCGTACGTGCGTACATATATATATATACATCATAATATATATATATATATATAACATACATATGATCATTTGCGTATGTATAAACACGTCGAACATATCGATATATATATATATTAGTACACATTGTATCATCGCTCTATATATATATATATTACTTAAACTTATTTGATACACAGTGCGAACTTGATATGATGTGCATGCAGTGAGTTGCGAGATATTCCATATATAAGTCAATGCATGTATACATATATATATATAATATATATATATATAATATATATATATATGTATATTATAAAGTATATACATACCACATGTAAATATATATGCTGCTGTCCCACACGTCGTCTTATCTCAGGACCATTTTGAAGAACGTGAAGAAGGACTGTGAGAAGCCCAAGCCGAAGCAGCCGAAGGAGCCGAAGGAGCCGAAGGAGCCGAAGGAGCCGAAGGAGCCGCAGGAGGGCAGGAGAGCACGGAAGGAAAAGCAGGGAAGGGAGGAAAAGAAGGGAAAGAAGCGCGCAGCTGCAGTGGCAGGCCATGTGGGAATGTGCACGTGTGTGTCAGCGTACTGTACACAGCACATATACATATACATATATATATATATTATATTATGCAATGTATACTATATATTATATATTATTTGTTATTGCCAGTTTAGGACCCCTATGCACATAAGATACCCTTGCCCACCCTTGACCACCATTGACCTCCCTTGCAGGTCCTCGGGCCGAAAAGCATGGCAAGGCAGCCTGAGCGATCGATGTGGCTCCGATAGATTTTGCGATGGCATTTGCAGTTTAAACCACACGAGCTTGCAAAACTTCAGTTGGGAGAAACACATCAGCATGCAAGTCAACACGCATGCGTGTGAACAACCTTGGCTGCTGTGGAGAAAACTGCATATGGGCATCCCGGGTTTGTGTCAAGGGCCCATCGAGGGTGAAAAGCTCGTAGAATGGGTCATCGCGATGTGCGGCATGTCCAACATGTCTTGAATGCAGGGATTGCTGCCTTTTTACAGCAAAACCAAAGTTCAAACACGTTGGTGGCATTTTTGCTGATGTCCCATGAACACACACAGACCCATATGTTGCTGTATGGCAATCCAGGCATGGGTTTCTAGGGGGCATCGTGCGGCGTGTCTAACATGCCGCCTAGATGGCCAGGCATGCTTCTGTTTTTCCGCAACAAACATATAGCTGCAAATTATGTCGAGGAAAAGCATGATCCTGGCAGGGGTTTGTGTTGGATGCAACGCGGCAGGGAGCCAGGGTGACAACACCCACGGATGGCGATCCCGTTGAGCTGAGTGCATCCCGTATTTGGGGATTGAAGTTTCAAAGATTGATCGAGCCCAATTGCAAAAGTGCGACAGCCAGCGCATGTGTCAATCCATATTAAACTTCAGCAATTCGATGTCAGTCTGATCCCAGCCTTGCGCAGGTGCTTCTTCGTCCACATTGCCGGCGGCGAAGCATCGCAAGATTGGGCCTGTGGGGCGAGCGATTGCGCGGGCAGTTGGCACCAGCGTGCCTCGACTCGACTCTCATATTTTTGCAGGCCTATAGCCTACATTTGCGCAAAACATGGACTGTTGAGGATGGGTTTGTTGGCTTTTCCTGCAGTTTGAGATATGCATAGGTACAATTAATATGTGCTGTTCGTGAAAACCGTATGACCAACCTGAGGTAAGTGAACTTCAGGCATGCAGCCTTGCTGCGGCTTTTTGGGAAGAATCCGCTGAGCTTGGTGAGCCGCAGTCCATGCATAGTGGGGAGCTCTTGGAGGGCATGAACCGGCTTCATCGCACAGGGCACACAAGTCGTTTACCTGCGTTGCTAGTGGAGCATGGACTTCAGGTTGACGTCAAGCCAACGTTCCACAACATAGGATTGAAAACAGACCACCCGGTGCTCTCCATTTCAAATTACATCACTGCGCTATCTGATGCAGGGAAGCTCGACATCTTGTTTCAGGGGCATGACTTCACGAGCTACTTGTCATTTTGGGCTCGATACAAGAGAATCAAGCCCACACATCCGGTGTTTGATGTGTTTGGCCAAGATCTATCGCATTGCGTACCATGCTTCCTACATGCTGATGAAGGAACATCACAGAAAAAGCGACAGATCTTGGTGCTGCAGCTTCAACCAGTGATGGGCAAGGGGAGTTCCCGCAGCGCTGAGCTGAATTTTTGTGGCAGCACCTATTTAACGCGGATTCTCTGGAGTGTGATGCAGGCAAGGCTGTATGCTAAATCCAAGCTTCCACTTTACGCCCTTCTTCAGGTTCTGGCCCAGGAATGCACCGATGCATTTAACAATGGCCTTGACATCACACTCAACCAGCGCACTCACAGGATACGATTGGTCGTCTTAGGGCTGAAGGGAGACTGGCCTGCTCTGACCAAGCTAGGAAGGTTGACGAGGCACCACCTTCGTGATGCCCCAAAGGCCGAGAATCCACCAGGCATATGTCACCTATGTTTGGCTGGGCAGTCTCTCTTTCCGTGGCATGTGTGCAGCCCGGATGCAGCGTGGCTGGAAACGATTGGTGCTGACCCGCTCCCGTGGACCATTCCTTCCCCACTGGCGAACATTCCGCAAGACAAATCTGACCGTGCGTCTTTTTATTTGATCGATCTATTTCACACTGTGCACAAGGGCGTGTTTTGTGACATCGCTGGGTCTGCGATTGTGTCTTAGTTGCAATTGTTGTCACGAAAGATCGACTCAACTTAGCTAGGATATTTGTGTGTACACCTCAAGTTGTCCAACAAAAACGCAGGTAAGCCTGGTGGAAGAGCTTGAAGCTTACGGGGGAGGGGGTGCTCTGGCTCGTCTGGGTGCTGTCTTTGAGGAGCTGCAGGTGTATTGCAGCATGCATAAGCTGGTCCTTCACATGAACGCGTTGACCAGGTCTCTTCTTGGCTGGCACAACAGTTCGGATTACCCCTCAGACCTGCTCTTCCTAAAGTAGCACATTTTCTGTACATGTGTTCTGTTTTTTGTTCGATCAATTGAGAATGGATTTGCATGATGTGGGCCAACTATAGGTCTTGGTTCAAGGGAGCAGACACAACAATCGTGTGCAAATGGCTGGAGTGGAAAATACCGCGGTTTGAAGCTGATTACGAAGGTGATCATGGTGAACATCTTTCACAGCTTTCCAGAGCTTTGGTTGAGGGCAACAGCTTCATGTCTGAGTTGTACCATCAGCCTTTGTGGTTGAAACCTGCAGACGCCCGTCGCATCTCCAATCACGGGCTTGCATTTCTATCGCTATACAGCTCTCTTGCAGGGTACGCTTTTCAGCAAGGATGGCCCAGATACAAACTTCAGCCAAAGATTCATATGCTAGCGCACCTTATGTACTCGTTGCGGGATGCTGGCTTCAAGAACATCGACACCCTCAATCCATGTGCATTTAGTTGCCAACTTGATGAAGACTTTATAGGGCGTGTCGCGACCCTATCAAGAGCTGTGAGTTCACGAACAATCCATGAACGTACCATCCAGAGATTTTTGCTGAACGTTGCGTCTAGATGGTAGCTGCGACTAATCCGACGTGCCAAACAGGTTCCGAGCCTGGTGGAAAAGGAGCGTCTTAATCCAGGGAAGCTGCGAGCCAAATGGGCATCGGGGAATCGGTCACTTTGCCTTTGGTGGCACAAATAAGCATCACAGTGATCAGTGCATGTTTAAAAACATATCCCAGGCTAACCAGGTGGGGCCTTTTGAGAATATGGGTTTTTGGGATTGGATCTGGGAGAAACTTGTTTGAAAGCACCTAGCAGATTCGGCGAAACTCGCCATTTCTTGGATGATAGAACAGTGAACCAAAAGTAATTAGGATGGTGATTGTGATGATGTGCAGAAAGACCGAAATCCAAGATTGAAACAACCCTATTCTGGCATCAACTGGTTCCTTTACATTTCTTTTAGGGGATGTTGCAACATCATAGTGAAAGATCAATACATACAGTGCGCAAGTATGCTCCACAAAACGACACTTTGCAACAGAGTGTGAATGCAGGCCGACTGCCAAGACTTGTGCAGTTTGGCTCTACAATCAGTGATTGGGCTTTCTGTGCAGGGGGCAACCCCCAGACCAGACGAAGGGTGCCAAAGCATACACACCCAGATTTACAAGCGTTTTCCCCGAACAGGCAATAAGGGGGCCCTGTCTTTCGGAAGCATTCATATCATGTCCAGGCGGCAGCTACCACGCCGATGGCCAACATAAAACCCTCTCTATCCATGAGCGGCGTTTCAGTCCCAATTGCAGTGAATGTATACTGTACCTTTGAAAGCACTCACCAAGGAAAAAAACAAAAACAACGCCCTTTTATCCTCATGGAAATGCACTGGGTCTGGGTTATGATTGGCCCAGAAATAATGCGCTCCAGCGCCCCGTACCCCAGAAAAGAAGCGGGCCACCAGGCGGCAAATGGCCTCCGGCTTGCTTCCTTGTGCACAGGCTTGCTCCGGACCCCGAAGCAAAGCAAAACCTTTCGGTTGCGCTTCCAAAATATGTTGAATTGTCCCTCTTGCTTTTAAACTGAGTCTATGACTAAACTAGTGGACAAAATGTTTGTTTGGGGCTAAAGCGAATGGAAGAAACACGAGGTTAGACAATTCTGGCATCCCAAACATCATGTTAAGTTTCTGGGTGGGCCGAATATGAAGCATAGTCCAAAACTGTTGCATTTGGCCCCGGAAGGGGTCCCAAGAGTTGCTGGGCCTGGTCTTCTTTCCGACCCAATTTCTGCACTTGTGATCTGGTCTTAGCACCAGGTGACAGCTACACCAAAGTCATCGGCGCTTGGGCTTCGATCGGAGATGCCAAGGAGGCCCAGGCAGGATTCGACAGAAGAGTCAGGCGCAAGGAATCAACAGGTTTGGTCAAATAGAGATGCGGGTTTCTTTGTTTTGTTTGTTTGCTTGCTTGCTTCCTGGTTTGTTTGTTTTGTTTGGTTGTGTTGTTTGATATGGGACATTCTTTGCTGGGTTCTTTTCCACTTAACCATGGGTTCCCAGTAGCGCAGAAAGCTGCAGGAGTGGTTCGCTCGCATGATGGAGGAGGAGAAAGCCACTCCACAGGCGAGAGCTGGGCATGGGGCTGATGGGCTGTTGTTGTGTTTAGGGCCGGGTGCTCAAGACAGCCACTGCTGCCCGTTGGTCCTTTGTTTTTTTCTCCCCGGGGTTTCCTTTTTAACTCAACTTCCAAAGAAAGAGTGCCTTTTGTCGCGCGGCCAGTGGGGTTTGATGTGTTCCTGGTGTGTTTCGGTGCTTTGGGGCGTCTTCTGCTTGCGCTTCTTGCACCAATGGCGGTGGACTATGGGACTCAAGAGGGTGGGGGTACATGTCGAGAGTTACCTTGCCAGCAAACAGGAATCGTTGTTTGTGTGTTTGCGTGCTTGCTAACCTGTTTTCAAAACGGTTGGTAGACATAAATCCCCAGGCACATCATGTCCACCAGATGTTCCCGTAATTAAGATGCATATACTCACATCCTTGGTTTCTTTCTCATATTTTCAGTTGAACAGCAAGAGTTGCCCAGACCTCCAGTGCTCTTGTCTCCTTGTTTTTTCTTGCCCGGATTCCCTTCAAAAGTCAACTACCAACAGAAATTCAGACCTCCAACTACCTTCTTTTGGCGGGGTTCCCTTCAACTTCCCTTCCAAGTGGGTCTCCTCATTTCGTGCCCTATGGAGAAATCCACAATAGGCCTCGGGTTTGCGCCGTGGCAGGCTTTGGCCTTCCTGGTGGATGCCCTGGTGCTGGCGGGGAAATCGAATGCACGAGTCCTCCGAGTTGGTGAACCCATAGGTTTTACAACCTCAGTGGTTTGGTCTCCGAAGTTCTTTGGTCTCAAACACAGACTTACAACTTATATATAGGTCTTCCTTAGTGGACATACGCGACGCTGGGTCATGGCCGACTTGAAGGTCTCCCTTGGTGGACTTAACCTTGTTGTAAGTGGGTGATCACCCAAGTTGCCAACCACTTTAACGTGGCAGAACATCTCAATGGTGTACACCTTAGGGATGGCGGCCTAAGATTGGATGGGGGCCTAAGATTGGCTGGAATATTAAAACAAGTCGGAACACTACAGTTGTATGCAAATCCCAACAATAATTCGCAGCAAATGTAGGCAATTTAGATTCACACAACCCCTATAGAGCTGTACATTGCATAAGGCTACATTTGGGTTGTATTTTTTGAAGCCCCATTTGGGAACACAGGACGCGGCCCAGTACCAAGTGGTGGCGTGGCCTGGGAATGGTTTTCCTAGCGCCAAATAGGGTGCCGAATGGCTTTCCTCCAAAAAGCAAGCACGGAACCTGAAAGCAACCCCTGAAATACATGTTTCCTCTGCAGCGACCAGTTTCCAATTAAAATAGGGACCTTTCTTTTGGCTTCTGAAAGAGAAGCCTGGCTAAAAAAGCCAGAAATGGGGCGTCCAACTTTCAGGAGGACCTCCAAATGCAAATGGTCAGAACCCTGGGTACGTGCCTCATACATACACCCCGTTTACACCCCTCATATAGCTCTCATACACCCCATGTCATCATGAGTAGTGGGCGCTCCCGAGTTTGAAGATAATCTATGATCCCCTGTGTTACGGCACGTCCCCTCTGGCGCGTAAGCATGTCTTTCGGTCTAAAGCCCATACGAGTTTTGTGTTGCGTGCCCGGAAGGTCATGACCCCGGTAGTCATTTCCCTTGACTTGGCCACCCGCCATGGAGGGTGGCCCATGGCCCAGAATGGCTGGTCCTTGCTCCCGCCATCCGTGGAAAATTAAGGAACCCTTTTTCACGGGAGGGTATTGGAGGAAGCCAACAAGAAGCCGGCCATATTATCACGATGAGTTGTGTTGTTGTTTTTCTTTCGGGTCGAGTCCTCTCAGCATCCCTGTACTTTGTACCGTTTGAAAAGCGATTTGAGTGCCAAATGAAAAGTTGGGAATTGTCGGCCAAGCCACTCAGTGGTTTTCCGTAGGCTAGGCCTGCACATTTGGTCAGGTGAGCGGCGATCAGCATGAGCAGGCAGGCCGAGTGCAGGAAAAGAGATGACATCCATTGAATTGCACCTGTTTGACTTTTTTTGTTCAGGGTGTCCTTTCTTCTTTCTTTGGAGGTACCTGGTGTTCAACTTGTTTGGACCAGGGTTCCGGTCAAAAATCACTACCAAAACAAGGGTGTCGTGTTAGACCATGGCCACCTGAAGGTCTAGGGCAACCTGACTTCAAGTATCTTCAGATTGGGGTCCCTCCTTGATCTTCCAAGCAGGACATTTGCTAGTCGTCCTTTGAAACCAGCAAGAAATCAGAAAGAACCACATGCGAGTAGGTGCCAAAATAGGGGGGGCCACCCTAAAAATTGTGGTTTTCCTTCTGGTTTCCCCTTAATCTCCGAGGTTTTCACGCCAAACTGGAGGAAGGTGTCATTGGACCCGACCAGGGAATGAATTTTAACGCACCCAACTCGACATCAAAATTCGTTGTGGATTCATTCACCAACCACTTTTGCAGCGGGTCCCCATTAGATTTGGCCACAATTGCGTAGCAAGTGGCCGAATGCTTCGCGGTGGTTTGCATGTACCTGACCGCAGCTTCTACATGGGCTTTTGCCACAGGGGGGTGGGCTTCCTTTGCTGGAGGGTTCTATTGTCTAAGTCATTCTTGGAGGAAGAGCCGCGCTAAATGTGGGCTTGTCGCTTTTTCCAGTGGTACTTGAAGCGAATGACTTTCTGTGGCTTGGCCTGGCTGTGCAGCTGGCTTTTTGCGCGCAACCTGCAAGAGGCGACTGTGGCATTTAAAACGAGCGCTTGCCATTTGCAGGGGTCTACCCACGCTTCCAGTGGATGTCTTCCTTTCTTCCTCCCTGTTCTGCGAAGGATCAGCCAGGCAATTTATCCGGGGTCAGCACTAATGTTGAAGATCGGAATGTGGAATGCTTGCCCGGGATTTTGTCACTTGCTGTCATGATGCTGCAAACAACACTGCCACCAAAGCCGCGTTCCCGGAGCTTTCGTGGCGGGTTTGCTTAACCGGGTCAATTATTATATGGAATAGGCGCGTCCTTTTTCCTGGACTGTTTGGAGTTGCAAAGGTGCGAAGCCAACACGGGAATCCTTTCGGGGCGATTGGAGATGTCGCAGCTCTCGCAGAGCTTCTTGCGGATTTCGGCTGTATCTTGGATTTCGGCTGAGCTCCAAAGGGACTGCATTGACGCTGTCCGCAACCAGCTCAGCCCGCGCTCACGAGCCCAAATTGGGAGCCAAATTCTGCACAGAAAACTGGCAAACATGCATTCGCGCGACGCTTTCGCCGGCTTTTGCACGCGATTGAGCTTTCGGGAGGCCGCCGTAGCCCCTCAATCAACCCTTTTCATGCTCACCTGCAAAAAGTACCCTCCAAAAGCACCACCAACCTTTTAAAAGTACAAAATTGTTACGAAAAGCGGCGAAGGTCCGCGAAAGTGGTTTGTTAGTAGAGGGTTTTGTAATACCCAGTGGTCGGCGGTTGGTTTGAAGGGGCACCAAGGACAGCCGCCATGCGTGGGTCCCCCCATTATTTTAATCCTATCCAATCATTCTGTGCTGCCAGGCCGCCAAAGCCGAAGAGCGCCCATGGCGGCATTGTAGCAGAAGAAGCGGGCGATTTGATTGGTTTGTCTCGACGTAGAATTCAGTAAGGTCACAGGGTCATTCTTGCATTTTCGTCGCATCAGTTTGTTTTTGTTTCTTGTGGTGCCCTTTATGTTGATTGAACAAAAAGAAAAGAACACCAAATACAATAACTCCGTTTCGGAGATTCCCCCCCCCAAAGCAAAAGAAGAGGGCAGCGCTTTCAGCCCGACATTGCTTTGCTTGGGCACGCTTGTGGGCCGAGGTGGATCGAGAAGTTCAGGAGCACTGGCAAGGACCGATCGATCCGCGCCCGCTGGAATCGGGCCCCTTCGAGAGCCTTAGACTTGCTCGGAGGGGCCTAAGAAAGCAGGAATGTATAGGGTACTTCCCAATGTAGTCGTGAACAGAGAATCATGGCAATGTGTGTGTGTGTGTGTGTGTGTGTGCTGAGGATTGAGGATGTCCCCGTTTTTCACGCAGGCCTCAAAAACCCGGCATTTCCTGGCATTTGAATTTGCAGCGTGCCCCCAAACTTTGGACAGCTTGTCGAACTCTGCCTGCACAGCCCCAATTGTTCTAGAAAGCTCGGGGCCGGATGTTCCATCGGAGCAGTACTCGCTGTGAAAGTTTGAGGAGCCTTCCTTCAAGGTGAAAAAGGTGCAGCTTCGGCACATCCCACGTGCATTATCACGACCTTGTTGCAGAGGGACAGGCCATACTTCCCAGCTTCAGCAATGCCAGATAAAAATAGCGCGCTGTGCAGTTTCGGCTTTGGCTTCGATCAGTAAAGTGTCATCCGCGTACAGCAAGTCTCTGACGTCCATGTCAGCTGACAAGACTGCACCGCTGCGTGCGAGAATCGGACATCAGCACGGTCAAGAGCATATTGAAAAGGCAACAATAGGCAGCCTTGGCAAATGCCAAATCACTCAGGGAGACCAAAACGCACAAGGGAGGGGATGTGTTGTCGATTGTTTTTCTTCGCCAAATCCAGAGCAACCAGCACAAGAGTCTTGTTCTGAAGCGCGTTGGTGTGCTCAATGAGGCGCCTTGCAATCGAAACAATTACAGTTCCAGATTTGGACTTGAAGCCAAATTGCGGGTCCCAAATCCACGCCTCAGCTGCATCTTTGAGCCGCTGCAGCAGCAATGCTGCGTAGAGATGGCAACCAACATAGAGCAGACTGATTGGGCGGTACTTCCGCGATCAGACGCATCGCCTTGTTGTGAAATTGGTTGCTACCTTTGCCTCATGCCAAGCCCGTGGGACGAGCGCCGTTGACAAAGCTTGGTGGCCCATTGTTTGAATGCATCCCTTTCTCGCAAACCGCTTTCCCACGTTCTGGCAGGTTGTCGTTGCCGCTGGCTTGCCCGGCTGAAGCTTCCTGGCTGCTCTGGTCACCTCGTCTTCAGTGTCAGAAATACTGTCAACGTTCACAAGAAGCTCTGGCCCCAGCGGGTGTGAAAGTTGGAACCATGCCGCTGAAAACCAGCTCTTCGTGAAGGTTTTTCAGCCTTCCGTGATTGCACGGCTCACCCTTCCTCACGGCCTTGATCTTGGACCAAGGGTTCTTGGTCAAGAAGGTTGTTCAACCACGTGGCTTTGTCTACTTTGACCGACTTCTTCACTTTACCCGTTTTTTTGTGGCTTTAAAAGGAAGCCAAAAGGAAAAACACCAGTGACCGAAGCGCGCCTTAGACCTTGTAGACACCAGTCGCTTTACCATTCAACCTGCAAAAGGTCTGACCGTTTGCTCAGGAGGAGGCAGTTGCAAACCTGTTTTGATCATGACTCAAGGATCCAATCCAAGGTCCGGCTACAATCGAGATCCCACGCGGATTTCGAAACCAGGGGCCTGGAAGACCTTCCGCCAGGAGCTGACCGCCAAGGTCTACGCAGCCCGCGCCTCTGCAGACGTGATGAACGGTGACTTTGAGCAGGCGAGGCAGCAGCGTTTGGTGCCAGGTTTGACGACCGTTTGTACCGGTATGTGAAAGTAGTTGTGTATTGAACAAGATGATTTGTGATTTGTGGTTATATTTTTCCTGGAACAACACAGCATTTACCCCAGATGTTAGAACCCCTGCTTTCAGCTATCTGGGGAATGAAAGTGGTAGGGACGTGTTCAAGATTTCTCATGTCTTGGGGTTTGAGGGTGAACAAGGACCCTTAGATGATAGTGGTTACCAATTCGGCATCTGGTTTTGTCTCAAATGGAACCTCGAAGCAAAAAGGTGCCCTCAATGTTTTGTTTGATGCTCGGATTGGTACCCTTTTTGGGGTGAAATAAAGGAAGCCAAACCAAAGCCACCACTCAAGGGGGCCGCCTATTGAAAAGAGACCCACATTTCTACCCTTAAATTATTCCGGCAGGTTTGCCAAGTCCTTGAAAGACCAAGTTGACCGGGGCTCCCTTTTGCAATCAAAAAGGCGACAGGCGTCCACAAAGAGGCTATATGTTGGACAACCCCCTGGCTGTGAAGTTTAAGAGTAACACCCTGAACATGTATATGAAGTTTGGCTTTGGTTTAAAAGTGGACGGAACAGCATGGGCCAAACTTATTTCCCTGGAACCTGGGCCCCAAACCTAGGGCTGGCTGATCGAGCTAGCTATCACTGTTGGGGACATTTTAAGATGGGTGTGTTTGTTCGTGCGAGGCGCCACCCTTATGCTTTGCATGGGAAGTCATTTGTTTAGGAAGATCGTGCTAACCCAAAATCTGGATTTGTGCCGACCAATCCGCGGAAGTCTGGGGTTGTTCAAGAGACTCCCTCCCGTACTGCCTTCACCAGAACCCCCCAAGAAGGTTCTGAGCACCCTTCCGGCATCCCCAGCTTCTGGACATACTTTGTGAAAGAAGCTCGTGCTATCTAACGCAACATCGCGGCCTCACGGGAAACCTTCCAGAGATCTGGGCTCGAGGATTCCCCAAACCAAACCAAAGCCAACGGCACGTCGAGCGCCTCGCCAGGTGGAGGCGCGCATGCAGCAGATGGAGGCCGACGGCCTCGAGATCGACGAGGCGACTGCGCTCGAAGGGAAAAGAAACGGCATCAAAATCCGGGGGACCCCCCAAAATGGCGGTCCTTTGGATTGCCGGCTAAACCCACCTGAAGAAGGCACCCTCACAAAATCATGCCCAAACAATGTCGCTTGTTTGGTATCCCCGGTGGTTTTCTCTTGAAACAACTTGTGTGTCCATCTTCGTCGGGGTGCCCCTTTTGGTGGCCCAGGCAATGCGGCACTGGATTGTTTTGTTTGTGTTTCAGGGATTCCAGGGGACCTGAGCAAACAGAAAGGGACCACCCTCCATGTACTCCCTGGCGCCTGGACACCCCTTAGGAAGCTCTGACTGTGCTGCTGCTGGCCTACGGCTACGCCCAGCCGCAGCAGACCTTGCTGGCCGAGCAGATGCCGGGGCCTGAACTCCTGAAACTGGGATCTCTTTGCATTGGTTGAGACAATGGCCAGAATCAAAGTGGCCGCTCGAAAAGGTGGGACCAAAATGGAAACTAATGGCAAATGGAACCTAAAACTATTGGCACCTTGGTTGACGAAGCATGGCTGTGGGTCAAAACCAATGGGATCCCATTTTGGGGTAAGTGCACCACCCATTTTAGAACCTATTTTAGTGGGGATTGGGATGTTCACTTGGGGTATGGGATTTTGCAGAATCAAAGTATGTTGAGTTAGCGGCAAAGCTGAAAAATACAAGGAGCCTTCAACCAGGGCGCTCACACTTTTGGAGTTACGATTTTCTGTCGGGTCAAATGGCGAGCTTCAGAGCAGTCAAACCGAGTTGGTGAAGGTTAGGGACAGTCCCAACCACAATTGCCCTTTCCGTCTTTTGCCATGGGTTGGGGGAGACTAACTAGTTGAACTTCATACCACGGGCTAACCAACTAGCCGTGCTTACTCGATTTCCCCGCCAAAAAAAGGAAAACCAAAGGGGCTGTTGGCAGTTCGGTTTTGCTCGGGTGAGACGCATTTTGGACGCCAGGTTTAAGCAACAGATGCTCCGGGGGAAGGTCCGCGCCACACAGGAAGTCTTGCAGGCGGGAGGGCCGTCAGTTGGGACTTGCAGCCCCGTTCTGAGGGACCCCAAAGTACGTTTGGGACCATTTTACATCTTTGCCCTTGACTACGATGAACAAGACTTTAAACCAACCTCCAGAAGGGCGCGCTCCATTGATTAGTCGGGATACCTTGCACCCTTTTTGCGAAAAGCCGAAGACAACTCCGAGAAATCCAGGAGTCAACTCCAGAAAAGCCACAGAAAACAAACAATGCCAGGAGTCAACGTCAAGAAAAACGGCAACGCCCCCCAAGAAGATGGCAACCGCCTACGTTGCAGGCGTTGCGAGTGGCCGTGGGCGGTGGCCGCTGCTTGCAGCTCAGGCGGACCGACCTTACGCGGGCGGTCAGCGGTCAGCGGTCCGACTTTCGAGGGAACCTCACAGCGCCCATAGCAAAAAGGTACCCACAAATACACTGACCAAGATTTCTCCCTAATGATGTGGTTTTACGCGTCACCGTTTGGTGGCCATTTTGGAAAATTAGGTTTTTGAGATGAAAGAGGGGGCATAGTCCCTTTGGTTTGAAGAGGGTGCAAGGGTTGCTGCACACCTGGAAAGTGCAAGCAAATCCGAAGGGCAGACAACAACAGGAGCCTTCGTCCAACCCGCAACCTGTTGTTAGTCTCAATAAGGTACCCAAACAGTGGACATCATTTAGGCGGGGATCCATGTCCGCCAACCACTTTTGAGGTGGTTCCCGGATAAACTCCATGGCGAAAGCAATCTTCACGCGTTCTTTTGAAAGCTATTGGTTCTGAATCAGGCTTTGCCGTCCTTCGGGTGCAAGCAGGGTTAGGGAGTCAGGGAGCTGCCATATGTCCATCTCGCGGTCTCCGAGCGGAGCGAAAATGCACGATTCCGGTTCACTGAGTAGGACCTGCTCCATCTGCAGAACCCATACGGGTGTGGTGCTGTTGGGGATATCACCTAAGCTGCTTGTGTGTGTGTGGGCGGGGGGGGGGGGGGAGTCCAGTTGCCCAGTGACCCTCGTAGAAAAAAGTTGAGCTAGCCAATTTTCGTGGGGGGACACTGAACTGGGAGGAGCATTCCAAAAAAAGGGGGGGGGGGGGGGGCAAAGCACAGCCCCGCAACCATGAGAAGCAACAGCCGAGATCATGATAATCTTTTGCACCGCCCATGTTTGGTGGGAACCAAGGAAAACAAACACCTTCCACTGAACAAACAGCTTGGACCAACCACCGGAACCCTCGCGGAACCCTCCCCGAACCTTGCGGAGCCATGCCTCAGAGCCGCCCCGGACCACCCCGGGGCCTGTCTGGGCTGAGACCCCTTTAGCTTTCAGCTTTGGGGCTTTTGGGAGAGAGGCAACAACGCTTGTTAAAGCCCTCTTTGGGGGTTCTCAGCATGGTCGCTTTTTCCCTGCTGGTGTCCCTTCAAGCCAAGCAAAGGGGAGTCCACCTTGAGAAAGCCCCATTTAATGTCACCTGAGCTGGAACCCTTTGATTTTGGCTTGGGAGTTATGACTTGTAACACTAAGCAGCAACAAGCAAGCTTTGTGCAGAAGGCAACCGCCACCAAGTCACATGGTAATATATGATATATGTTCACAAAACATGTTGGAAAGGATTCCGCGCTACCATGCGTAAATAACAGTTGACAAATTTGGCCCGAGGTTCTCTGATGCCATTGAACTACCAGGGTTTTTGCCTTTGGGCTTGAATTGTGGCTTCTGCTTACCTGCTAGTGGCTTCTGGAAGCATTGGCTTTTGGACCCGATCATGGGCGACAAGGGGCCTTCAGCTTTGTTGAGATGGGAGAAGAGAGTAAATGGGCACCACTTGGAACGCGGTACTTTTAAAAGAAAGACTCCCAAAGACAAGATTCATTGCCAATGGCCAATCCCAGTTTGTGTGGCTTAAACCTTGTTGCCCTTTTGGCGTGTTCATTTCCCTTTAGCCGCGGCGTTATGCAAGGGTTCTCAGTGTGGGCAATATTTATGACTCACACCTCACACCGCTTCGAACGCCAGGCGCGAGCTGCAAATTGGCACGCCGCGGCCCAAGCCGTCGCCAGAATATAGTGACTAAACAATAAGTCAGGCTCAAGCAATGGGTACAGTCAGCATTTGAAGGTTTATCCCAGGGAATTGGGTCAGCGGGACATCAGTTTTGGGCCAAGAAACACATCCAAGTCTGCGAAGCACGGTTGGATCCTTGATTGATGGGCTTCTTCTTCTGGCCAAGGTTTGCAGGACCCTAGCCCATCAGCGCAATGAGTCGCAAAGAAGAAGTGTGTTTCTAGCAAGCGAATGCTGAAGCTTGCCTGCCTTGGCTTCCACACTCCACAACGGATCCAGACATGTTCGCAGGATCTTACAGATTCACTTGCGACGTTGTTGATTTGGCGTTTCATCAGGTGATCAAAGGAATATAAGTGTGACAATGGGCCGGCTGATGCACAAGGATGGCGCCAGTTTGGCACCGGGGTGGGTCGAAATTTGTTTAAAACCATGGCGGTTAACACTTGTTGAAACAATCACATTTGGCCCAGCCCTGTTTGGCCCTCACAACTGGGTCGTTTTGCTGGTCGCCAGTTAGACAGAAGGTGCCAATGCAATTCGCTTCAGTTTCAACCATGGCCCGATGGTGATCAAAGGTGAACTGGGGTCTTCTTCAAAACTATGATACATGCTTTGGGTAGACTAAATATGAACCATCAATTGAGTATATATATATATATAGGATTTTCCGTGTGCCTCAGATGTAGGCCAAGGGAAGGAAATCAACTTGGCCCTTTGGGCCACAACTGGTCACCTGATGATGAAGGGGACAGCAGAGTTTTTCCACACCCTCCCTTGCACTCCCCCCCGCTTTTTTGAAAGGAGACATGTCCCTTTTCTATTGGGAATCCTTCACGAGGGGATGCACCATGATGCACCCTTAGAGTCGATTTTGCATAATGTTTGGTGGTCACAACTATTTGGGAATGCTTGTTTTGAAGGGACCCGTTTTGGGGTTTCTTGGGAAGTTCGAACCACTTCGGGGGGTTCTGTTTGCATGGGTTGGTGCTTTCGAGCACGCATGTTCCACGAACTGGGTCGGCCGAACCCGAACAGAAACCCGGGGCCGATTCATAAGCCCCGTTGACAGGAAGTCCCATAGAGCCAATCCGTTTCTCCGGTGAGCCTGTGTCTTCCGGCAAAACGTATGGGATAGTGGCTGCTTTTTTGGGATGTTCATGATGGGCATCATGGGCCACTTGCCACTTCATGAAGGTGTTTGTCAGTAGGCCGGTCTTTTGAAATCCCGGTTTTAGGTATGGATGCCCTTTCGCTTGCCAATGCTGTCGACATGGGCTGCTGGTCACAGGGAGGTGTTTGTGAAGGTCCTGTTTAACTTTAAGCCTTGTTTGCCTGACTTTGAAAGGGATCCAAAAAGGTTCACAACTTCGACGAACGCTCATATGGGTGTTTTCAATCAATTAGGGACCGACAACTTGGGGTGATGAGTGTGTGCGTGTTATTCGGAACCCACCAGGAAGCCACTCACTTTTAGGTGTCAGTTTCCAATTTGCATTGCTATAGGCTATGCCCGTAGCGCTTCCACCCAGGAGCCAGAAGTCGCCGCAGCGGGCTTGGGTCAATCGGAATCTGAGTTCACTGCAAAAAGCAATGACCCCAGTTAAGCAAGCCTCTACATCAGACTTGGACCAATTTTGGGTGAAATGCCTCCTGGGATGATCTTTTCGGGCGAAATTGAGTTATGTGTTTAAAAGAGGGACTCACCTCCAAAGTGATTGGTGGACATGAATCCCCACCGAAATGATGTCCACCAAAGGGTTCCTGATTAGAAAGAACAGCCATTTGGGGAGCTTGATGGTTCTGAAGTTTGATCTCCCCGTTCAGTGCACCGCAGTCTTCTTTTGAGAAGCCACCGTTTGGGGGTTCCCCTCGTGTTTCCACGGGTGTCAGACACGTCCAACCCACGGAATTTCGCTCGAAGGTGGCAGCAAGAACAGTTCCCCTGTTTACATGCTGTGGCATTGTCAAAACAGCCTTTTACTTGGGGTTGGCAGGGATGGTCATGGACCCTCAAGTACCAAAAACAGGCAACCATTGTAAGCTGTAGTGGTATTGGGTATTTTGCCTTGACCTTTCGTTGGGCAGACATGATTTCCAACCAAGAAGTTGCACACTTTTTTGGGCAGGCCATAGAGGGAGGCGTTTCTGGGAAGCATGGCCAGCCATTTGACTGAGGGCAGAAGCCATCGACTGGGCTGCCAAGTCTCCCGCGGCCTCAGCCTTGGAACCGATTGCGCGCCTGTTGTAACAAGCTGCAGGGTCCCATCCCCAAACCATCAGTAGATGCTTCCTTTGGCCAGCTTTTTGTTTTTTCCAGCTTTAAAATCAACAGCCGAGAAAGGGGCGCCCCTTTTTTCATAGAAATCCATTGCGACCGGTCAGTGGCCTTGAGCTTTTTGGAAATGGTGGCCGCAAGGGTGTCTTGCTATGACGGGGGCCGACGATTCTTTGGTGTCCACTTAAGATTTCGAAATGACTCCCTGGCCAAAGCGAATCTGTTTGCTTTGCGCTTCTTTGCGACCCCCTTGTGGATCTGTAAGAGTCGAGGTGTCAAAAGTTGTCAACTAATGTTTGAGAAAGGGGCCGTTTCATTGTAAGCCTCTTTTTAAGTGGAAGCCACAAGGGAACCAGCTGTTGCTCCTAGCAAGCTACCATGTCTTCCGCGAATCTTGCAAGCCACGAACTCTGGTGCACGCCAAGACACTTCCATGTTCCAGGAGGTTCCGAACGCAAATTTGCAACCTGCGACTTCAATCCCCAGACGGTGTCTGTTTTCCTTATGTTTGCGGGGGTGGTCCTTTAAAGTCAGCCAATCAAAAAAGGATGGCCAGTTTTGAGGTCTGGGATTTGCAGGGCTTTGAATCGTCCGTCTCGGCGTTGCCTCTCTGGCGCGTCTGGAATGTCCATGCCTAGTTGGCTTGCTTTGGGTTTCTCTATTGCCCTCCGAACAGGTGCCCGTCAAGTAAGGGGGGCTCGGGCCTTGCGGGTTCCTTGGTGTCAAAGATCATAGGGAGGAAGCCCAGACCTCCAGTCGCGAGCCATGTTGTCCCCAGAAGTTCTCTTTAAAGTCAACGAACCGAGAAGAGGTCAGATTTGTTTTGGCGAAATCCACGGCTTGAAACTTGCTCCGATAGGCCAAGAACCGCAAGCCTAAAGGCAGAAGCGCGGCCCTCGGGCCCTCGTCTCTCCAAACCGCACTCGAGAGAGTGGTTTGTGTGGGGGCGGAAGGCTTTCCGGCAGATCCACTTTTCAATAGGAAGTTAGCCTTTGTATTGCAAGTAAGAATATGTTCTTTCGGAAGGTAGTCTTAAAGCATTGGGTTTCTGTGTCAAACATTGATTCCTTCGGGTGGCGTCATGGGTCTTTGTGCAAGTCATGTTTTGAGCCCATATCCCATTTGGAGACACTGCGTTTGACAAGCAAGTCCTGAGATGCTTTCTCTCCCGCGGTTGCGGCGCCAAAACAGATATGGAGCAACGAGCCTTTAGAGCCATCTTTCCGGCGGTAGAAGGCCTTTGACAGTGAAGCGTGCCGCGCATTTTGGAACCTCAGATCAACTTCACCCCTGGGCCCGTTTGTACGTCCTTCACTTTCCTTTCTACCATTCCAAATGCCTGGTATCCTTGTCTCAGAGCCTCGGCACAAGCGTGGTCTGTCTTTCAGCTGGTCCTCCACTTGGCTGTCCCCCGGTGCTGGGAAAGCAGCTGGGTCCCCTACAGTTGGTTGCCTTACCAAAACACAAAACTAAGGCGTCCATTTCAAGAAACCAACCAATGCAATGCAGGTTCGCAAAATAGAGAAACCTCCAAACTGTCAGCTTCTCTCTATCTTCATCCATTGGTACATGAAGGTGTCAATGGACAAGTCGCTCTATCGTCAAATGCAACACGAGAGCGCCCATAAAGAACGACCGAAGCCTTGGATTCCATCGGCCCAGGCCGAATTTGGAAGAGTTTCCTGCCGCCCCCGGAGCCTGCGAAACGCCTGAAGTGGGAATGAAGCGCCCCGTCGCGAACTCGAGGGTTTGCCTCGTTTCGGTGGGGTTGGCTCCTTTTGGCAGTGCCTACATTGTTGGGCAAACCATCGCCTTTTAGGCCTGTTTAAAGATGGGTTTTCTTTGGGTGGGGTGTTGTTTGATTAAAGGTGAAAATATCAGCAGAAACCCTGTTTGGCTTGGCTGTTCAAAGGCAATCCACAAGATCCTTGGAACGAAAGGGGTCTCCTTTGTAGTTGTTTTCCGATAGTCATAGACTAGGATTGGCCAACACACCATTTTGAACAGCCCAGATTGGTTGTTCCTTTCCGGACTTGGTTCCTCGTTTTGATTGCCCCTTTGAATTTCAACCAACGAGGGCGTTCCTTGGCGAAAAGCGCAGGAATCGCAGCTCTCAGATTGGGCAAGTTTCTTCTACCAAGGTGCTTATTCTGCACATCCTGATTGCACAGCTAGAGGAACCTTGTCTTGTCCTTGGGAAGTGCACTTGAGAAGTGTTTTGAACTCTTCAGGGAAAAACATGTTTTCAGGTGGAAAACCCATATTCTCAAGAGGGGCGGATCACATGGAACCTACAAAAAGCAGGGTGTTTTGGGTTCCCATGCTAGAGCAGGCCGCAAGGAATGGATGACAACCCCTCCCGAGCGAGGTGTTTCCGTGCACGCGTGCACGTGCACCACGGCGGAATCAGCTTCGATGGCCCGAATTGGCAAAAGCGCTGGTCAAAGTGAACCGACGGGATCCTAGTCGCGTGGCAGCTTTCTTTTGCTATGACTTTGTCTGGTCTGGGTCCAAAAGAGGGGTGTCAATTCGAAACCTGGGAAGTGAGATGAATCCCACGAGCAATGAGGCTTCTGAAGCCTTAGGATGCCTGAAGCCTTAGGAGCCTTAGGATGCAAATTGGAGGCGTCCAAGGAGCCAAGAGAAACTTGAAGGACTGGATACCTGCATGGTTTCACACCTCATCATACAGTTTCCCGTGAGCTCCACTCATTCCACTCACTCATTCCATGTATTTGGGTGTCTTTTCTTTTGGGGACCCAATTGTTTTGGTTTTTTAGCAGACACCGAAACCCATCCCAAGAGTATTCCACTCCTTCAATCTTCCGAGCTTTGGTCAGGCACCACGGGCACGCGAAGTGACCGCTGGAATCTGCCCGTCTGTCAATCCAACACAGAAGTCAGGCTTCCTTAAACGATACATTTTGGCCATTGTAAAAAAGAAGAGGCTAAGCTGATTCAATCAGTTTCTACGTTTCTACTAGATGTTGTTTGTTTCTTTTTCAGGTGTATCCTTCAAGAGACCGTGGGCTGGCCTGCAGGTAGGAATCTCTTTTGTTGGTTGCTTCTGAGTTCCATGTGAATGTTGGCCACTCTTCAACAACCCCCCCAGATGCAATGGGGGGGGGTCGCTGGAAGAAAGCCACGGCCATTAAAAAGGGGCCCCCTGAAGAAGTAGGTGGGAGGGGTTTGTCTTCAAGGGAACCCACAAAGAGGTATCCTATCTATTCCGTGTCAAACAGCCCCAAGGGGACCCTACAAGTACAGACCTGTGGCTGGAGACTTTGCAGCTGCTTCGGCTTTGGCTCAAGGAACTGGACGCCCTTCAAAGCAGCTGTGAGGTTCTTGACTCGACAACATGGACGCGGGCGGCGTGAAACTTGCCAGGGCCGGGCTGAAGTTTCCGGGTCGCGGGGCGGGAGCTTTCGTTCTGGGGTCTCCCCAGGTGTGGGCCAAGGCTTGCTATTCCCGGGACAAATCTATGTGGGTGGGTGGACGTCATAGGGAACCCAGTTGGATGATGTCCACCAAATTCCTTGACTTTTTCATTCAGAAACATATATACCTGTAAAGTCAACGAGTGTTCAGTAGAACATTTTTTCCTTTTCGCTTGTTTGGTCCTCCACGAAAAGTAGCCAACTCCCAAATATGACAAGCGGATGGGATGCATCATTGGTGTTGCCCATGATGTGCAGAGCAACAATTCACAATCCTGAGACTCCAATTGCATGAAGATTTCATTTGATTTGAGGATCACGGATGTGGCCCTCCAGAAAACCTGGAGTCTGCACATTGCTTCGTTAGTCTGAGGCGAATTTTGGTTTGTGTGTTCAAGCGGGCGTTTTGTGGTTCTGCTTGGCTTCGGTATCTTTGGGTCAAGGGGAACCTTCAACCGAACCCCATTGCGGAGCTGTTGGCCTTCTGCCGTTGGACGCAACGTTGAGTGCCCCCTACTATGTGCTAAGCCCTTGTCGACTGGTTGTTGCGACTTCGCACCTCTGAAAGAGCATTGGGTGTTTTGAGGTTGTTGCTGTTGTTTTTGTGTTTTTTTTTGCACTGGCTTCAAAGGGAAACCAAAAGGAAGCCAACCATTTCGGGGGTCCCCTATTTAAAGCCGCACCCACATGTCAGTTTTAGGTGGGCAAGAGCTGAGGTCGAAGTGGGGAATCCCCGAAAACGGTGGTTGTTCCCTGGTTTCCCTTCAAACCGATTTCACGGGAACCCTCAAAACAGAAACACACACACACACACACACACACACCATGTTCTTGTTTGTATAGATTGTGCTGTATTTCTTCTCACACCTAGCATTATCTACTATCTATATTTGCTTTTGCAGCAGAGAAGGTCTTGCCTTGCTGTTCATGGTTGTGGAGAACGAAAGGACAAAGTAGACATAGGGTTTGGAATCCACTTTGGGTGGGATTTTCTCAACCATGTTGCTGTTGATTTCCTTCATTGTCCCTTTCGACCAGCTCACTTTGCGCGGGTCTTTGTTCTGTCCAACTTCAGAGAACCTGCTGCTGCTTTCCAAGGCTACTCAAGCCCTTTTTACCAGAATGCTTCGATCCGCACCCTTTATCAGAACCCTTAAGAAGTTTCTAAGAGCCTTTCCTGGTTGGTTGGGTTGGGCTGGGTTGGTGCGTGGGTTGTGGGGGGGCCTTCGCTTTCCTCCCTACATTTGGAGCGGATTGGTGGAGGCTCTGCCTCGATCGGAATGATTCCGCTCAATGTCGCCAGGTGGACAAGATCCTGGGACGGACTGGCTCCCGAGGAGGTGTTATCCAGGCGCTTGAAGGAAGCGAGTTTGTATCAATCTTGTGGAACCCCAAAATGGTTGGTTTCTTCTGGGGTGTCCTTCCCCCGAAAGAGAGACACCCGCTTGGATTGGTGACGGGTCTTGAACCCCTGCTTCTCGTTAAGCCATGAGGTAGGTAGCAAGATGCTCTAAATATTGTTGAGTGCAGCGGCTCCCTTTGGGCGATATTCCTCTTTGGGAGCCCTTGCAGTCTTCATGTTTGTGGCTAGGTCGAAATTCAGACGCAGAGATGTCCTTGGAAAGTTTAAGCTTTTGAGGCAATTTAAAAGTGGAGCCCTTCAAATCGTTTACACTTGCCAGAGAACTCCGGGAAGGCTACTCTTTGTGGGCTCCGAGGTGAAACTTCGATCTTTCCGGGGATTTGGGGGGGACATTGGGGGAGTCCGAATTTAGGGGGCCCTGAAATCGATACCCAAAATCAAAGCCCTGAGGACCCCTCTGAAGCACTTCAGGCAAAAGCTGGAATTCATGTCACACACAATCTGCAGGAACGGTTGGGTAAAAACAATCCGGAACCCGCAAAAGTCCTCATGTTCACTTCCATCGCAAAGCATTTGTCATTTGGGTGTACACGATGTTTGGGGGTCCGATTCCAATTTTGAGACAAACCCATTTCTCTCGTTTGGGTTTCAAGGGGGCATGCCCAGGACTAGTGAAGATTCCAGTCCCAAGGTTGTCGGGCCCCCCCTTCCCCCAAAGACGGACACCCTAGGCTGCGACACGCTGCCAGTCTTTTGGTTGTGCAGATGGCGTGGTTGGAGCTTGTTTGATATGATGAGCACTGTGCCGCTCCAGTCTGAGCTTCTGAAGAAAAGCACCAGATACCAGCCAGTTCTGCTTCTGATCAAGCTGTGTTTTGCTACTATTATTTTGCTTGTGCAGATTGTGGATTATATTTCTTTTGAGTAAGTTACATGCCTTGGTTGGGGAGCTTGTTTGATGTGATGAGCACTGTGCCGCTCCAGTCTGAGCTTCTGAAGAAAAGCACCAGATACCAGCCAGTTCTGCTTCTGATCAAGCTGCGTTTTGCTACTATTATTTTGCTTGTGCAGATTGTGGATTATATTTCTTTTGAGTAAGTTACATGCCTTGGTTGGGGAGCTTGTTTGATGTGATGAGCACTGTGCCGCTCCAGTCTGAGCTTCTGAAGAAAAGCACCAGATACCAGCCAGTTCTGCTTCTGATCAAGCTGCGACTCGCGGCTAGTCTTTTGTTTCTGCAGATTGTGATTGCTCTTGAGTAAGTTACATGGCTTGCTTGGGGGGCTTGTTTGATGTGATGAGCACTGTGCCGCTCCAGTCTGAGCTTCTGAAGAAAAGCACCAGATACCAGCCAGTTCTGCTTCTGATCAAGCTGCGACTCGCGGCTAGTCTTTTGTTTCTGCAGATTGTGATTGCTCTTGAGGGAGGAATGTGGCCAGTGGCTTGGGAGCTTGTTTGATGTGATGAGCACTGTGGGCGCTCCAGTCTGAGCTTCTGAAGAAAAGCACCAGAACCAGCAGTTCTGCTTCTGATTCAAGCTGCGACTCGCGGCTAGTGTTTTGCTTGTGCCAGATTGTGATTGCTACATTGAGTAGGTTACATGGCTTGCTTGGGGAGCTTGTTTGATGTGATGGAGCACTGTGCCGCTCCGCTCCAGTCTGAGCTTATGAAGAAAAGCACCAGATACCAGACAGTTCTGCTTCTGATCAAGTCTGCGGACTCGCGGCTAGTTTGTTTGCTTGTGAGATTGTGGATTGCTCTTGAGTAAGTTACATGGCTTGCTTGGGGAGCTTGTTTGATGTGATGAGCACTGTGCCGCTCCAGTCTGAGCTTCTGAAGAAAAGCACCAGATACCAGCCAGTTCTGCTTCTGATCAAGCTGCGACTCGCGGCTACTCTTGTGCTTGTGCAGATTATGATTGCTC